AGTTCGTGTTACATATTAATGATTTTATGTTTGTGAGATGAGGTGAGGTGAGGTGAAATTGGGTTTAACGTCGCGTCCAAGATTATTGCACTTATATAGTGACGTGCATGCACGTGTGTGTGGCTGCTTGTACTAGTCCGGACTGATGCCTATTTATAGCGCTAGCACACTGAGATACCATGCCGCAGTTTAACATGAATACCCCACTCAGACACAGTATAATAACTCCGAGCCGACCAGTCCTTGTTTTAGCCCTTTAATGCCGAGCGCCAGACAGGGTAACAATTACCATCCTTTAACGTCTTTTGGTATGACGCGGCCGGTGGTTAAACCCCGGACCACGGAGGCGGTCTTATGTTTGTGAGTTACATTGCTACTTGCGCCATACCGAACAATACTGTATGGTGGTTAAGTCTGGCTTCATGGTATCCAAATGTAAACATAAAACGTCAATGCAAGACAATAACCAGTCTTGATAAACCGCCAAAACAGATTCAATTTGGCGTAAAGGCATAATAGATGCGATAATTATATGAATCATTATGATTCCTGAGTATTCCCCTCGCTTTCGACGTGCCCGGATGTTTTGATCATAATCCGAAAGGCTTACCTTACCTTTGAGGCGTCCGACCAGCTGAGGTGAGGTGAGGCGAAATGTGGTTTAACGTCGCGCTCAAGGTTGTTGCACCTCTACAGCGACGCGCATGCACGTCAGTGTGTCTGTGTGTGGCTGTTTGTACTAGTCCGAACGAATGCCAATGTTATAGTGCTAGCCCGCTGAAATACCTTGCCCCAGTTTAACATGAATACCCCACTCAGACACAGAACACTCAAAACTGATCAGTCCTTGTTTTAGCCTCTTAATGTAGGGCGCCAGGCAGGGTATCAACAAGTACCATCTTTTAACGTCTTTTGGATCGAATCCGCGGCCTTCCGCTATCCGTGCGGACGCTCTGCCACTGGAGCACGGAGGCGGTGCTGGCCAGCTCAGGTTATGACAAATGTTATGGACCAAAATGTCAGCATCACTTTAGAAGTGTCCGACCAGATTAGGTTATATAGATTATGTTGATGTCAGAAGGATTCAACTCGCTCTTTATAATAAGTTGTCCGACAAGACTAGACAAGAGTATTATTTCACAAGGGTCTCCGTCGTGTCTGAGGTTGGAAGGTTAAGATGTAAACGGATGATTATTTGACAAAGTGACGGGAACTGTGTGACTACCGTTAATGAGCTTTCAGGTATGAGTGAGTGAGGTAGTTTGGTTTAACGCCGCTTTTAACAATATTCCAGTAATATCGCGGCGTGTCAGCTTAATGTGGGAGGAAAGCCCGAAATGATGAAGGTCTCAGACATTTACCACTTCGGTGAAACCCACGAGCACCGGTATGGTGCTGACAAACCTAGAGACATAATCGGGGCGAACCGAGATTCGAACCCACAATCATAGGTTTCGGGCGTGCCCATGGGACGCAACTCTGCACAGCGCATCGCAGCGCCTTAGACGACTGGGCCACCCGTGCCTCCTTCAGATATGATACTGATCAATAATATAAAATGAACTAATGGCAAATAAACGATATGTGATGTATTAGGAGTGAGTGCTAACCCTCAAATAACACGCTCCAATGAAGGTCACATAGGGTAGATGTATTGTCAAATCATGGTTCATGTACAATTATATGCGTGCGAATGACCTAATCCTTTCTTTGGCCCTGTAGTTGGGTACGAGGCCGACGATGGCGGTATGGTGGACGATGAGGTGAGTGCCACCAAAGGGGTTGTCCAGAAGATTGACGCTGTTCTCATCCCTAGCTCGCTGTCAAGGTCAAGGCTTTGACCGCTGGGGCAACGACAGCAGCATGAGGACATTACCTTGTAATCCCTTGTAATTGTGATTGATTATTTCAAACATCATATATCTCGGAGCATAGTCATTTTTCAAAGCATTCTTTCCAGTTAATAATTGGCATGATAATGCACCATGTACGTATTCTGATCAGAGCGAATGGATGACCATGTGGTCTATGTCACCACAGCTCATTGTGCATACCGTTTGTCGTTCACGGTCCATTGGTCGCACAGGAACATAGGAACGTGTGTGTGTGTGTGTGTGTGTGTGTGTGTGTGTGTGTGTGTGTGTGTGTGTGTGTGTGTGTGTGTGTGTGTGTGTGTGTGTGTGTGTGTGTGTGTGTGTGTGTGTGTGTGCGTGCTCTTGTCCCATTGTCCCGTGTCATGGCACTCAGTCAGAATCATCACGAGAGACAAATCAAAACTAAAAAAACCATTTGATTTATTCTACATATCTGCAACAAAATTTTACTGATTCTAAATTTTGTTTTGCAGCAAATACTCAGCCTGTATATATGTATGTAAATCTTGGCTAGTGGGTGGTAGGGTGGAGCAAAATGTTCCTTGAGAAAATTTGTTGATAAACAACATCGTTTCGAAAATGCGGGGGGTCTGACATGCTCTTATCCCAAACAATAACGTTATTATCTGCTTTGTCGCATCCGGAGGTGTCGGGCGGTCGGGTAGCCTCGTGGTAAAAGCGTTCGCTCGTCACGCCGAAAACCCGGGTTCTATTTCCGACATTGGTACAATGTGTGGAGCCCATTTCTGGTGTCCCCTGCCATGATATTGCTGGAATATTGCTAAAAGCGGCGTAAAACCTCGCTCACTCACTCCAGAGGTGTCTGTCTATGGCGTTGCCGCCTGAAACCTGACAACAGCGTGTGAGCGGATGATTGTTTATATTTCTACCAACACCTTAGGTCTGTTTCAGTTACTAAAGTCGTTGGTAAAGAGTGAGTTGGGTTTTACTTTACATTGAGTTCACTTATATCATGGCGTGATTTGGTTAAGACTTGGGTCATGCCGCAGACTCATGAACACGGACATGGTGCTGACAAACCAAGGTTCATAATCGGGTCGGATCCCATTTTCGCAACCATGACAAGCGGATCTTGAAAAAGTTGAATACAAAACTGAATGTATAGCATACGTCCCTTTTATGGTGTAGAGTAGATGGACAGTATCATCTGCGCCAGGCTGCAGGTTACATGGGCGAACTAGCTGGTTGTGTTTCAACGCACTCCGACAGCGGGGAAAGTTGACACAATTATTTTCTTGATGATTTTCCGCTCTTCGTACATTAACTGCGACGGATATCACCAATAACTTACGTATTCACTCTTTATTTAAGTTTCTGGTGAGTGAGTGAGTGAGTGAGTCTGTTTTTTTCCAGACATATCAAGGTGTGTAACTTTGTGATGTGGGAGGCGATCCTGATGTAAAGAAGGTCTAACACTCTAACCATTTGGTTAAACCACCGAGCACGGATACGGTTCTGACAAAAGTAAAAACATGCTCATGGCGCCCAAGGATTCGAACCCAGGACCATAGGTTTATCGCAAGCCTGAAGGGAGCAACTCAGCACAGCGAATTACGGCGCCTTAGGCTGCAGTTTACAAGGATGCATGGGCACACATGATGTTGCATCAATCTTCAAACGCAATGAAAGATTTAGGTACGTTATCACACAGTCTGTTCATTTCTGTACAAAAAGACGAACGTTATACCACTAAATACTCCTGAATATGTTCGACGTGCACGTATTCTGTCTACAGCGCTTATAATTTTCTGTTGGTAATTGTGGTGCTGGTGAAGCTTAATCCAAAAGAAACAAGAAACGAGGAACTTTTTTAAACGTCGGATATTATAATACACAGAACATGAGGTAGCTACAAAACAGTCTGAAAAATGAACAAAACAGAAATATAAATAAACAAGAAATAGAATGTACACAGGGAGAATGAATTAAAGAAAAGATGACAAGGAAGTGGTCTGTTAGAATGAAAGCATGATGGACATCTTTGGTCATGACATCAAGCATTGTGAATTCAGCCGCTTTGAACATTACTTCATGTGTTTGTGATGGGTGCCACCGGTGGGGCAGGATACACTCACCGTTTCGCGAACACCTAACAATGGACTTTAGTAGAGGTTTCTTATATATATGGGAATTGGTTTTTGGAAATATGTTTTTTGCCGCGCCCATTTTATATCACGGATTTTCAGACCCATTGAAAAAAGCCCGAAGTGATGCAGGCCTAAGACGTTTATTACTTAGGTGAAACACACGAACGCCTATCCAATCCAATGACCATAATCGACTCGTATCAAGCAATTCAAACCCACGATCACAGGATCATGACGTGCCCAAGGGAGGCAACCCTGCACAGCCAAATCGGACGCATTAGATGACTAATGCACCTTCATGAAGGGTGGTGCCAGTAAACATCAGCAGCTTCACTGCATTGAGGGGGATACCTCTACCTCGTGGTGTGAGGGGTTCCGGGCTGTTTCCATTTGATCCACTGTCCCTGTGTCCATTGCACCATACCCCTGTCCGTGGGTTTCATCGAAGTGGTAAACGTCTGAGACCTGCATCACTTCGGGCTTTCCTCCCACATTAAGCTGACACGCCGCCATATAACTGGAATAGTGTTAAAATACCGTTCACTATTATGAAGACGTTAGGCTATTGTTCTTGCAGTTGATTTTTAGGAAGTTAAACTGTCGCAACTATAGGCCATTAAGCAATGCTATAGCGGAATTTTGATTCAACCGTAACATGGTTAAAGCCAGAGAAATCACTTCAATCTGTTTTGATTCCAAGAGTAGGATTTCCCTATTACAAAACATGGATGCAGAAAATTCTTACGAAACCAGTTGTTTGGATGCCGTGTGAAGGGAAGTGGTTTGCTTTTTTATTACCATTCGAAATCCATTGAATCCATGTGTATCAACCATTGCAGTAAGTCAACATTCATCAGATAATCACTAAACTGACCGCGTAAGTCTTTATCTTTATTTAACCGACTATTGTGAGGTCAATAAAAACTAACGTAATGAATTGAGTTGCAAGATAAGAATAAAATGCTGCTATGTCACGTGATCTAATCTGAGTCTGACTATATACGAACATTCTTGTGAAACCAATCCTTCTTCTTGCAAGTTGGCTCCGTGGTGCTGCTAGAGCCAAAATGAATGCTTTGTTAGTTCTTTGCATGCTGGTCGTTGCAACGGCGCAGTCGAGACCATTCAATATCATCGACTTCCTGATCTTGTCAGCCCAGACCACACTTCCAAATCTTATTCAGCAAGCGGGGCTCACTGATACTCTTAAAGGACCTGGTAAGATATAGTAAGGATATCATCTGGGTTTGCAATGCAAACGTCTGTTAGTCTCAGTCCAACATGTAGATATATATATGGTATGGGTGTATTGTGGATACATTCAATGCAGTTTATGAAGATATTTACAAAAAAATACATGGATTATCTTTTCAAAATGAGATTCTTTAAATGACAAAAATGATTGTTTCATTTCAGGCGATGTTGCGCCACGATCAAAGTCCTCTTTGGCATTTTATTCGTGTATACATTTATGATGATATTGATAACCGTATTGATCACATATTTCTTAGCAAAGAAAATAGTCAAGAATTCTTACTAGTGTTTAAAGCGTTCGTCCGTTACTCTTTCAATATGAAGACCATTTTAATAAAATAGCAGGAATGGTTACACCAAGTAGAATAATACTCTCTTACTAGTAATCATCTATGGACCAACGTGCTAACACAATCCTACACAATGGTTGGGTATCTCATATCCCCAGCGAGGTATTGTTACGTAAATTGGATGCAACTGACACGGCAAAACTGACCACCTTTCTCAAATACCACGTGGTCAGTGGTCAATACCGACGAGGTGATCTGTACAATGAGGAGAGTCTTACTTCCCTCCAGCCAAACCAAACGATCAGGGTCAACTACTATAACGATGTAGGGGTAGGTGCACATTTTACATCAAGCAGAACTATATATGTTAGGGACTGACCGTGTAATATTCATATCCCTGTATGTTCATGTGTAAATTCATGTGTATCTTCATGAGTACGTTCATGTCTACATTCATGTGTATGTTCATGTCTACATTCATGTCTACCTTCATGTCAAAATTTATGTCTACATTCATGTCTATATTCATGTGTATCTTCATGTCTACATTCATGTGTATATTCATGTCTACATTCATGTCTACATTCATGTGTATCTTCATGTCTAAATTTATGTCTACATTCATGTCTACATTCATGTCTACATTCATGTCTACATTCATGTCTACATTCATGTCTACATTTATGTCTAAATTCATGTGTCTATTCATGTCTACATTCATGTCTACATTCATGTGTATCTTCATGTCTAAATTTATGTCTACATTCATGTCTACATTCATGTCTACATTCATGTCTACATTCATGTCTACATTCATCTCTACATTCATGTCTACATTTATGTCTAAATTCATGTGTATGTTCATGTCTACATTTATGTCTACATTTATGTCTACATCTATGTCTACATTTATGTGTATGTTCATGAGTACGTTCATGTCTACATTCATGTATATGTTCATGTCTACATTCATGTCTACCTTCATGTGTATCTTCATGTCTAAATTTATGTCTACATTCATGTGTATGTTCATGTCTACATTCATGTGTATCTTCATGTCTACATTCATGTCTAAATTTATTTCTACATTCATGTGTATGTTCATGTCTACATTCATGTGTATCTTCATGTCTACATTCATGTGTATCTTCATGTCTAAATTTATGTCTACATTCATGTGTATCTTCATGTCTTCATTCATGTGTATCTTCATGTCTACATTCATGTGTATGTTCATATCTACATTCATGTCCTCATTCATGTGTATCTTCATGTCTACATTCATGTGTATGTTCATGTCTAAATTTATGTGTATGTTCATTTCTACATTCATGTGTATGTTCATATCTACATTCATGTGTATGTTCATATCTACATTCATGTGTATGTTCATGTCTACATTCATGTGTATCTTCATGTCTACCTTCATGTGTATCTTCATGTCTAAATTTATGTCTACATTCATGTGTATCTTCATGTCTTCATTCATGTGTATCTTCATGTCTACATTCATGTGTATGTTCATGTCTACATTCATGTCCTCATTCATGTGTATCTTCATGTCTACATTCATGTGTATGTTCATGTCTAAATTTATGTGTATGTTCATATCTACATTCATGTGTATGTTCATATCTACATTCATGTGTATGTTCATGTCTTCATTCATGTGTATCTTCATGTCTACATTCATGTGTATCTTCATGTCTACATTCATGTGTATGTTCATATCTACATTCATGTGTATGTTCATGTCTACATTCATGTCCTCATTCATGTGTATCTTCATGTCTAAATTCATGTCTACATTCATGTCTACAGTTATGTCTAAATTCATGTGTATGTTCATGTCTACATTTATGTCTACATTTATGTCTACATCTATGTCTACATTTATGTGTATGTTCATGAGTACGTTCATGTCTACATTCATGTGTATGTTCATGTCTACATTCATGTCTACTTTCATGTGTATCTTCATGTCTAAATTTATGTCTACATTCATGTGTATCTTCATGTCTACATTCATGTGTATCTTCATGTCTACATTCATGTCTACATTCATGTGTATGTTCATATCTACATTCATGTGTATCTTCATGTCTACATTCATGTGTATCTTCATGTCTAAATTTATGTCTTCATTCATGTGTATCTTCATGTCTACATTCATGTCTTCATTCATCTCTACATTCATGTCTACATTTATGTCTACATTTATGTGTATGTTCATATCTACATTCATGTGGCTGTTCATGTCTTCATTTATGTCTACATTTATGTGTATGTTCATATCTACATTCATGTGGCTGTTCATGTCTTCATTTATGTCTACATTCATGTGTATGTTCATGTCTACATTCAATGTCTACATTTATGTCTACATTCATGTGTATGTTCATGTCTACATTCAATGTCTACATTTATGTCTACATTTATGTGTACATTCATGTCTACATTCATGTCTACATTCATGTCTACGTTTATGTGTATGTTCATGTCTTCATTCATGTGTATGTTTATGTCTACATTCATGTCTAGATTTATGTCTACATTCATGTGTATGTTCATGTCTACATCTATGTCTACATTTATGTCTACATTCATGTGTATGTTCATGTCTACATCTATGTCTACATTCATGTGTATGTTCATGTCTACATTCATGTCTACATTTATGTCTACATTCATGTGTATGTTCATGTCTACATTCATGTCTACATTTGTGTCTACATTTATGCCTACATTCATGTCTACATTTGTGTCTACATTTATGTCTACATTCATGTGTTTGTTCATGTCTACATTCATGTCTACATTTATGTCTACATTTATGTGTATGTTCGTGTGAATATGCCTATGTAATTACCTGTGTTACTTCATGAATGTGAATATCCATGCATATGTTCATATGTACATTCATGTGCACATAGATATGTATATTTATGTATATATTCCTATGTGCATTCCTATGTATATTCATGTGTATTCATGTGTATGTTCATGTCTACATTCATGTCTACATTTGTGTCTACATTCATGTCTACATTTATGTGTATGTTCATGTCTACATTCATGTCTTCATTTATGTCTACATTCATGTGTATGTTCATGTCTACATTCATGTCTTCATTTATGTCTACATTCATGTGTATGTTCATGTATACAATCATGTCTAGATTTATGTCTACATTCATGTGTATGTTCATGTCTACATTCATGTGTATGTTTATGCCTACATTCATGTCTAGATTTATGTCTACATTCATGTGTATGTTCATGTCTACATTCATGTCTACATTTGTGTCTACATTTATGTCTACATTCATGTGTATGTTCATGTCTACATTCATGTCTACATTTGTGTCTACATTTATGTCTACATTCATGTCTACATTTGTGTCTACATTTATGTCTACATTTATGTGTATGTTCATGTCTACATTCATGTCTACATTTGTGTCTACATTTATGTCTACATTCATGTGTATGTTCATGTCTACATTCATGTCTAAATTTATGTCTACATTTATGTGTATGTTCGTTTGAATATGCCTATGTAATTACCTGTGTTACTTCATGAATGTGAATATCCATGCATATGTTCATATGTACATTCATGGGCACATAGATATGTATATTTATGTATATATTCCTGTGTGCATTCCTATGTATATTCTTATGTCTCTTTCTGTGTCTATTGAAGCGTAGAAAGAAATGTTATGGTTGCTATAAACATATCATGGCTCTTCACACCGATGACTTTACGCCAACTACAAAATCACTGGCACCTGCCTACCGTTTCCGCGAACACCCGGTGTCATTACTGATTTTCAGTGATCCAGGCATTGAATTTACATTACTATGTTTCCTTTTATGCCGTAAGGATTATGTTTAACCAATATTGGAGAGAAAATTATCTGGGCTGTATATTTTGAATTTATTTGGTTTACATATATCAATGTCCAAAATGAGATACATGTTCGTTGTTCCGACTCCTCTCTAGGCGTTTGCGTCACCATGGCGTTTAATGACGACATCTGTTTCAGGAAATTACCGTGGAGGGTAAGGCCATTATATCATCTGATCACGTGATGAGTAATGGAATTGTTCACTTCATCGGTGGCGTGATGATCCCGCCGGCGGGGACCGTTCTGGACGTCGTCCTAAAGGACGGAAATCTTACCACACTCGCCTCAACTATAAAGAGTGCTATGCTTGAGAACTTCTTTCAAGGTGAAGATCTATTGATCATAATCGACAAAACATTTCTTGTAGAGCACTGCAAAACAATTCTAGGACGTGGTATTTGACGCCGTTTACCAGAATGTCAGTTTTATCGGAGTGTGTTGACTTGTTGTGTTGGGGGGAAAAGCCCAAAGAGGCGGAGGTCGAATTTAAGTATTGAGTGAAGTTTATTTGTGGATGTAGATCAGGTTACAGAAACAACAACGTTCCAATCAATGCACGTCACGTATTTCACTTGAAGTTGGTGTAACCATAAAATATGTTTTCACGAAACTATTTTCAAAAAGGCCAAGATAATTCGGTTTTCGAAACAAACGATACAGTAAAATACCTTTTCACAATTAAGACCATCTGCAAACCCGAAATAGCGAGATTTAACTGTTCCTGCAGTTTACTCTATGGTTATTGGGTATTGCAGATCAAAAGCCCATCACCCTCTTTGCTCCCACTGACGAAGCCTTCAACAAACTCGGAAGTGCAACTGTAAAAGGTCTTATCGCCGACCCTGCACTTTTGAAAAGTTAGTTTCAACTTAAAATTTGAGTGAAAGACATGATAACTGTGGCTAAGTTTGTTGTTTTAAGTAAGGAAATGTCCGACGAAACAAAAGGTTACATATAGTTCATGCACACAATACATGTTCTCAGAGATTTCGTTGTTATAGTTTGAGATTATTGTGTGGCCAGAGGAATAATTTTGCGGCTTAATAAAGAAATATGTCCCTTGTTGCAAGAGCGTTTCAAGAATAGTAAGAAATTACTTATCAACTAAAGAACAAAGCGTTTTGTCTAAAGTATTCGACTAAAGCACTGTAGTCCCTTGTATATGTAAACTCCCATCCAGCAAATACATGGTTTAAACACAAGTACGAACATAATTCATAAACACATGCATATGTAGTCGGAATCGTACAATCGGCACTGCTTTTTGCAGATATTTCGTCTAAATATGGCTTTTATTTAAGAACTATTACACTGTTTTTATTATATAAATACGTAATATAACATTGACACGACTACACAATGTATACGATACATACGTGTATGACACGGTGCTGTTTCCAGGTGTACTTCAGTACCACGTGGTCCCGGGGACAATCTACAGGTTACACAGCGCTTACCTGCACACCTTTGAGGAGGCTGACCGGATTCGGCTACATACAGTCGACTTGGGTAATATAGGGCTACATACTTCACTGATATATATGTTTTACTGTCTGTAATCACCTCCTCACGTCTGAGGTGTCCCACCAAACAGGGCTATATTATTCCTGAATATTTGATTATGGTTTGTAGGGATATCCTTACTCTTGAAGAGTCCGGCCACATAAGGCTACATTGAGACCCGGGTTTATGTTTGCTGCTGTCGGCAGTGATCTCTTCACTTTTGAGGTGTCCGGCTAAACAGGCCTTTATAATGTCTGAGTATTTGTTTATTGTTTGTTGATATCTCCTCACTTTAAGGTGTCCAAACACATATGGTTGTAGGAATTTTGTGAGTGTGTCTGTATGGATTTCTTTACGTTTTAGGTGTCTGACCAGTCATTGCTCTATAGGTTTCAGGGTAAAGAATTGTCATGTTCATAAGTGTTCACTTCACTTTTGACATGCTGACCTGCTTTGATGTTATGAAATCCCGAAATTATGCATGATCCTCACTATTTTGGTGTGTCCAACCCGATTACGATATGAACATATGTTAATGACGGAAACATCCTCCCCCTTTCGCTGTGACCGTCCAGATTAGAAGCATTAGAATTTATTACACGTTTTGGCCATGGTCAGAAAGGCTTACCTCCGAGCAGAGTATGTGACCAGTATTATGTTGAGGTCAGAAGGATTCCCCTCGCTTTTTTGTTTTCGAATTTTTAGACCAGCTACGAGTATTGTGGCATAAGGGTATCTGGCACCTCTGAGGTTGCAAGGATTAGGTGTAAAACTCACAATCATTTGACCAAATGACGACTGTGTGTTTACTTTGGGAAAATTACCTTTCAGGTATAGTACTGAGGTAAAGTATTATCATAAAACAAGAAAAAGATGGACAATACTACGGTGGCCCATGGACAAGGGTGGTAAAGGACATGGAGTGTTCTGGACATGTAAAGAAGTTATTGAATCGCTGAAAAGTGAAACGAAAATGTCAAAAACTAAAATTAAAATGTCAAAATCAAAAACGAAAATGTCAAAAACGAAAATGAAAATGTCAAAAACGAAAATGAAAATACAGAAAACTATTTCCACCGCGGTGATAATAAATTTATTTCCACCTCGGTGAAAACTACTTCCACCGCGGTGATAATATTTACACCGCGGTTGAAATATTATCACCTCGGTGGGAATATTATCACCGCGGTGGAAATAGTTTTCTGTGGTTTCATTTTAGACTCCATGTCCCTTATCGGCCACCGTACTATACGTATTGTATTATAAGTGAGTGGTGTTCCACACGTTCCATTTCAGGTCACATAAGGTAGATGCAATGTCAAATCGTGGTGCATATACAATTAACTGCTTGCGAATGACCTAATCCTTTCTTTGCCCCTGTAGATGGGTTCGAGGCCGACGGTGGCGGTTTGGTGGACCATATGGTGAGTGCCACCAATGGGGTTGTCCAGAAGATTGACGCTGTTCTCATCCCTAGCTCGCTGTCTGACCAGGTCAAGGCTTTGACAGCTGGAGCAACGACAGCAGCTTAAAGACATTGTAATTGAGAGTGATTAAATCCAACATCATATATTTCGGAGCATAGTCCTTTTTCAAAGCAGTCTTGTTTCATTGTCCCATGTCATCAATGGCATTGATTGAGAATGGCCACAAAAGACAATTCAATGGACAAAACAAAAAAGGATAAGAATAAATAATAAAATATGTATATATAAAATTATATTGCTTTTAAATTCGGGCCTGCTCAAATCCTAAACAATAAACCCCATGCACACGGATATGGCAAACCAAGGTTCACAATCGGGTCGAATCAGATGTTCAAACCCATGACAAGCGGATCCTGAAATATAACCATACAAAACGCTTAACAGCGACATTTGCATGATGTGCCAGGTTTTGATGTAAGGGGAAGCCCGATTTGATGCATGTCTTCAACGCTTACCATTTGGTTAAACCAACGAGAACATGTATGGTCCTGGAAAAGTAGAAACATAATCGTGGCGCCTGAGCATTCGAACCCATCAAAGGTGAACGTGGAAACGCCTAAGGAACGCAGCTCTGCACAGTAAATTGCGGCGCTTCAGAATACTGGGCCGACTGGGCGTCTGGTGCAGCAATATATATGCATACGCGATACTGCATTTCTCTGCAAACGCAATGAATCAATAAGGTACGCTGTCACATAGTATGTTCATCACTGTACAAAAAGACGACCGTGACATGAACAGAATACAAAACCCCACTAAGTACTCATCAATATGTTTGATGTGCACGTATCCTGACAACAGCGCTGATAGTTTATGTTCTCATTTCTCATTTGGTAGTTGTGGTGCTGGTGAAGCTTAAGGGCGTATTTACAAGAAACAAGAGACTAGGAACTTAACGTTGGATAATATAGTACAATGCACAATAGCTGTAAAACTATTTTATCGACAAAACAGTTTGAAAAATGTAAAAAAAAACAGAAATAAACACAAGAAGAAGAATGTAGGAATGAAGTAATTAAAGGTGACGAGGAAGAGACCTGAAATGGATAGAAGTGCATATGGTACCGCCCAAGTTCTCGACCAGTCTGCAGAAATCTACATAATTTTCAATCCTATGGAACTCATTGAGCAGGAGGCCTCGTGTTCAAAAGATTGGGCGAATTTGAGCCCAACTTTAATTTCGGGTTTCGGGTGCCGGGTGCCGGGTGCCAGGTGTAGCGGGATTCGCTCACCTTTTCGCGAACACCTGGTATCATCACCTTTTAACAGTTATTCATAAACACATGCTCATTATATAGTCGGAATCGTACAATCGGTTCTGCTTTCGCCATACATTTCTTATGCATGCGGATAGGATTTTGTTGCTTTTGTTTAATACCGGGGGCGGTGGGGTGGTTTAGTGGATGTCCCACATAGGTACAATTTGTAAAACCCATGAAACCATTGATATTGCTAGAATATTGCTAAAAGCGGCTTAAAGACATACCCACTCACTCACTCTGAAATTGTTAGGTTATGTCCCTTTGTTCGAGTGGCAGCTCGTTATATATCTCTGATCATGACACCAGGCTGTGCCCCACGGAGGACGTGCTCTAATCAGGTCACACATGGCAGATGTTATTTGAACTATCCTACCAAGTATTTCTTTCCCCCGAACCATGATAATGGACGGCTGGCTTAAGGTGAGACCTACTTTACGTGTTGATAATTATAAAGAACAGCTACATAAGCAGTCATGAGATAGTGATTAAATATAAATTTATTTACAGGTAGAAAACTTTCTATATATACTGCTCTCTCTCTCTCTCTCTCTCTCTCTCTCTCTCTCTCTCTCTCTCTCTCTCTCTCTCTCTCTCTCTCTCTCTCTCTCATTCATATATATATATTATTGTCTTGTGGGATTGAGACAAGGGTGTATCCTAAGTCCATTTCTGTTTTCCCTATCAATAAGAATTAGCTACAAAAGGGATGTGACAGGGGTGTTCAGTTATTACCAGACTTATTGGAGTTCTTTCTATTACCCTTTGCCGACGATGTGGTTCTAATTATTAGTGTATATGGACTACAAAAGGGGTTTCATGTATTGCACAATTATATCAAGTCCTAGTCATTGTCTGTTAATATGACAAATATTAAATAGGTATTAGCGAGGTTACTTGACTTTTCTTTTCAAATATTATGATAAAGTTGACAGGTTAACTGCAATATCAAAGAATCAGGTGTTCTTTAACTTCTTTTGAATAGTTTTTTTTTTGCAGGTAAACAACCCGACCCCGAAGCACTACACTGTCGTAAAGAGTCTGAAAAAATATTAAAATATTCCATATAATAAAAATTCTACGCAGCTGCTGATACTGCACATCTAATTTATAAGTTTTGAATAGGATAAAACCATTACCCTACTATCTCACACCATACATATGAGTCAGGTAGATGAATAGTGCCGAAATTCTTTCACACAGTAATTTGACTGGAATTCGGAGTAGATAGACAGAAAATATCAATATTATTTATTTAGGTCAGATTATCATAAATGTAAGACGCAGTAGAGTTTTCTATATTTATCATGTACCTTAAACCCATTACGCAATACCACCGTCTATTTCATATGTCAAGGTAGCCCTGAGCATAGAAAATTCTCAATAGACAATCAACAGGCGGGAAGCGGGCTATTCGACCCACATTAGCCACGTACTCGCGACAAATGGAACGCGGGGTAGTGGACTAGTACAAGGGAGGTCACTGGTGTGCGCCTGGGCGCAACACTGTTGACGAAATGGGACCTTGAAACTCCGTGCGCGATTGCATGATGCGAATTCGTTGTTATAAATACGTCTGGTAAACGGCGTGTGTTCAGTTTCGGCTTGAATACTGCGAGATATACATCGTATTTTGTTCACCAACAGTTTTTATCAAGATATAGCTCGTGATGTCTGTTGCCAGTGAGGCACCGCAAGGCCCAGAAGGAAAACCTGCCATTTCGACTGAGGCCACGGAGACGCAGGAGCGAAGAAGGCGTGGATTCTTCTGGTGGGGGCGCCATCACCATAGGAACATGTCTGAAAGTGGGAACACTGCGGGAGACGTCGGTTTGCAGGACGGGGTGCCACAACCAACTGATGACGAGGGTCGACACAGGCATCCTTGGGGTGGCAGGCGTGGTTGTCGGCCCAACATGGAGCAGTACGGCCCGGGGCCCCACGGTCTGGGTCCCTATGGCCCGGGTCCCCACGGCCCGGGTTCCTTTGGCCCGGGGCCTCACGGCCCCGACTTCGTCCCTCCTATGGGAGGTCCGTATTATGGGTGGGGTCACCCCATGTGGAGGCGATGTGGGGGAGTGCTGAAAACAGAAGAGAGGGCACTGTTTAAGGAGTTCGACTTCTGGTGAGTGTGACGGTGACTTGAGCTCCGTTGAATGTTACAGTGACACGATCCACTAAATGTGACAGTGACATGATCCATCGAATGTGAAAGTTCCGTGATCCACCGACTGCGACAGTTGCAAGATCCATCGAATGTGACAGTTCCGTGATCCACCGACTGCGACAGTTGCAAGAACCATCGAATGTGACAGTTCTGTCATACACTGAATATGTGGAAGATCCATGATCCACTGTGTGACAGTTGTTTGATCCACCCAATGTAACACTTGTGTCGTCCTATGAAAGACGCACTTCCATGCAGTGGTATGTGAGCATTTCCAAGGACGTCATGTATAACTGATTTGACTTTACATACTGAGTTCATTACATTCGTTCAATCAACAAAATGTTTGTATTTATGTATTCGCGTTGCATAAGTATATATGTACGCGCGCGCAATAATAACTTCCTCGTCTATTTGTGAAATAATCCGTTTCTGTTCAAGCGAAATTCCCGAGTCATTAAGGCATGGGTGGAAATTTTGTTATGATTTTTAAAGACTTAATACATTGTTTGAAATGCAGAGAACATTGTATATTCATGCATTGTGTCACAGGTGTTACATATATCTGGGTGTTTCGGATACTATTATGTATCATTTTTTGTATATCTAATGATAAATATCTGTTATATGCATAGTTTTTACATGTATGCAGACCTACAAGTGATATACTGATATGTATTTATAGTTTTGTAAATAAAATCCTACGTTTTGTTAATGGTTTTGGTTTTGTTTAATTTACGTAACTTTTTACAACTATTTGTTTATTTCTTGTTAAACACCGAACTCAGCAATATTCCAGTTATTTGACGGCAATCTGTATATAATCGAACATGAACCAGACAATCCAGTGATAGACATCTTGAGCATCGATCTACGCTTTTAGCAATATTCCAGCAACATCACGGCGGGGGACACCAGAAATGGGCTTCACACATTGTACCCATGTCGGGAATCGAACCCGGGTCTTCGGCGTGACGAGCGAACGCTTTAACCACTAGGCTACCCGACCGCCCCTTCTCAGAAACCACTGGACCAATAAAGATGAAACTTCACGTCATTACAGTTCTTGTTCAAGGGGTTCGAATCTGATATTCAATATGGCCGCCGTGGTAGCCATATTGAGAAACCTCTTTATAGACATTACTCGTCATTGCAATGTGTTTCGTTCTGTGCGTAATTTTGAAATTATGACCATATTTGACCATGCTTGTAGATTCTCTCATAATGTATTTTTGCCTCTGTAAACTTCTCCTTTGAAATTGCCAGACTGAGAGGGAGCAGACCTTCGCCATGTATGTCTATTTTCTTATGATAAAATTATACCTTATTCTGTTTAATTTTGGTGTTTAACTTAGTATTTATGCAGAAAATATCCGAATATCGTCGGTGACAGCCACATTGTTCTGTGTCTCTCTTTGGGTTTTTAAACTGGTGAGTATCTATCCAGGTGAGCTACAGTGTCGTGGTGTGTAGAATATGCAAATACCACATAGGCCACAAGGAGAAATACAAATATTGCGCCTTCAACATATGTTTTATGTAGTTTGATGGAGTTTGACATTTTATTTTGTTCCTAAAGTCTAAGGCCCAAAGTTTTTCAAGGTATCTCTCTATGGTTGAACCATATAGCAACGGAAATGCAACTGTTTTACATTTTACATTCTGTTTGTAGGTCACAAAAGTCCCCAGTATCTAATGCTTCCCGAAAGAGCCGACTAAAATGGAGATCGGGTGGTCAGGCCGTGTGACGTGGTTCAAGGCGTGTCGTCATACCCTGGTGACGTGTATCGTGTGTGCTTTTAGTCACTGGTTTCCCCGATTGGTCTGCGTACAGGCCGCCGTCATACAGCTGGAATATTGCTGATTGTGGCGTTGAACACAATTCAGTCACTCATCCATTTTTACTCGCAACGAACTGCCCACTGAAAAATTCAAATTCTGAGTTTTCAATGAACTAACAACAAAAGGACCAGCGGTTATTCGTTAAAATTAAATTAAACTTTATAGATTATTCCCGTAATCATATACCTAATACAATCATTTTTGACATATTTTAACAATAATTCTCCTTATACTTTTTATCAGCAATATTCCAGCTATCTGTAAATAATCGAGTCAGACAATCGACATCACGAGCATCGATCCACGCAGTTGGAATACGATGACATGCATCAACCAAGTCAGCGAGCCTGACCACCAGTTCCTGTTAGTTGCCTCTTACGACAAGCATACTCGCGTTATACGACATGAATGGGTTGCTGAAGACCTATTCTACCCCAGATCTTCACGGATCATCTCCTAATGCAAATTGCCCCTTGGATATACATGAGACCCCATGGCGAGGTCTCAAAGCTAGCTATATTTCCATAGTTTTGCACACGTGTAAACTGATGCATGTGACATGAGTATTGATTTCATTTTATGTGACTCTCCATTTGTATTCTGCAGATAGAAACGATTTGTCAATTCTACCTTGATTTCTGTAATAATGCTGCAACCACATGAATAAAGCTTTTATCAATGATAAACCTAAAGTATACAATCAAACAAGGCAGGGATTCCATACGCCTCTGCTTAAAGTATCGGCAGTATCGGGTGCGTTAACTGAGAAAACATTGTTTGAACTATAAATTGCTTAATGGTGCCTGGTGGTATTTCGAAATGAAGTCAATAGATGAAACCGATGTGGGTCCATACTGGTTTGTAAATGAACAATAGCTCAGCCCTAACTATACATAAGTGGTGGATGTTAGGTGAGAAACGTGAATTGTTTCCATCTCTGCGTACATTAGCGCTCGCCTTCACTGCAAACTATGTCATTTAAACAGTCGCGTATTATACACCAGCAACGCATCCTCTCAATCCAGTATGAAAGGACGACATATCTGTGGACACCCGACGTAGGCGTTGAAAGCGAAGCAGGGGCTTTTCTGGTGAACTTCGAGCAGTAAAGGTGAACAAGATCTTGAAGCCGTTTGTGGGTGTCTCGTAGTTATTGAAGGCGAACAAAAACAACGGTTTAGCCTGGACAAAAGTCATTAAAGTCGGACAAGTACAAGCGTTGAGGATGAAGGGGTCGCCATGAGGTGAACAAAGACCTCCATTGAGGCTGACCCAATAGTGTTATTGTGCGCACCAGTAGCCGTTAAAGGGGCATCCATCGGAGGCAATCCAGTACCTGTTAAAGGTGAACAAAAAGCGAGCGTTTTTGGTGAACCAGTCGTCGTTGAGGGTAAACCAGTGATTGTTTATTGTGAACAAAGAACAAATGTGGATAACCAGTCTCGGTTGAGGGTGAACCAATAAACGTTGAGGGAGAGCCAGTAAACGTTGATTGTGAACCAGTAACTTTGAGGGAGAGCCAATAAACGTTGATTGTGAACCAGTAAACGTTGAGGGAGAGCCAATAAACGTTGATTGTGAACCAGTAAACGTTGAGGGAGAGCCAATAAACGTTGATTGTGAACCATTAAACGTTGAGGAAGAGCCAATAAACGTTGATTGTGAACCAGTAAACGTTGAGGAAGAGCCAATAAACGTTGATTGTGAACCAGTAAACGTTGAGGGAGAGCCAAAAAACGTTGATTGTGAACCAGTAAACGTTGAGGAAGAGCAAATAAACGTTGGGGGAGAGCCAGTAAACGTTAGGGGAGAGCCAGTGGTCGTTAAGAGTGAACACAGAAGAATCGTTGTGGGAGACGTCATTTGGGTGGAACAGGAGCCTAACTACTAGCTGTGGATTGTGAACAAAGGACAATGGTTGAGGATGAACCAGTACCCGTTGAGCGTGAACTCAAGTCGTTGAATGAAGACAAGCAGTTGATGTGACCGAACTGCTAACAGATGAATGTAGACTAGATGCTGATGTGACCGAACTACTAACAGATGAATGTAGACTAGATGTTGATGTGACCGAACTACTAACAGATGACTGTCGACAAGAAGATGGTGGAAACGCCTGGTGTGCAGACCAAGATGGCGCTGTCTCCCGGGGATAAGTCGCCGAGAGCGTGGCGTCAAGTCTGGACTTCGTTTGCTGAAGACACCAGCCTCCACGCCTGCAATTATCTGGCGAAGACGCAGAGGACACGGGCCGAGAGGTAAGGGATTCAACATTTATTGTTTTGAGAGCACTGTGTGGAGTTAATTTCTGGTGCCCACTACACCCTCCCGACCCCAGCGTGATGTGGCTGCCATTCTAGTACTAAAAGCGTCGTACATCACTACCCACTACCCATCGCCACCCTGTTAACAGCGACACAGGGCATGGGTAGATTTGATTTATCACCTTATTTCTTATAGCCACTGTGGTGAATAAATAAATGTCCGAAGATTTAGTACAGGTTGTCTTAGGGTGTGGGGTACGGGTGGCCCAATCGTCTAAGGCTCCGTGATTTGCTGTGCGGAGTTGCGTCCCTTGGGCACTCCAGAAACCTATGATTGTGGGTTCGATTGAGGGGTAAAACTCTGCACAGCGAATCGGGGCGCCTAAGACGACTGGGCCCCCCTTGCCCCCCGTATCAGTATCAAATGGTGATTATACCAAGTGTTCGGGAAAAGGTAAGCGTACCCTGTCTCACCGTTGGCACCAGTCACAAACACATGCAAAGCCACGTGGTCCTGTGCACAGCGCACAGGACACATATTAGGTGAAGTTAGCAACGTCGGTCTCGGAGGGTAGTTGGATGGGTGACCACGTTCAGCAGCTTGACTACTGAGAGTTTCTAGCGCTTCGGTCCTGCACATGTACATGTGGTGTATCCTTGTGAGTGACTTTGTTCGAAATGTGTCTCTGTTCACCCAGCAGTGAGTGGGTACCCGGTAGGATGAGATGGTAATGTAGCTAACCTTCTATCGCCTTACAGGCAGCTTGGGTTGTATGCTCCCAAGGGAGCTGAGAATGAAAATCGAGTGCTCACTGATCCATTGACCGGGGTAATAATAGTGTAGCGCTATGAGCATCCACTTGGTGAATGGAATCTGGCGCATTTTAAATGCACTTATTATTATTATTGTTGTTGTTGTTATTATCATTATAATTATTACAAAGAATTGTCTCAGATACGTTTTGAAACGTCGCAAGATCCATGGGATATGACAAGCAAGAAAGCGACTCTTGTTCAGAAGTTGTTTGATCAAGATTACATCATTCAAGGCCTCGATCAAGATATTTAAAAGTTTTACGGTAGACATGTGGAGGACATTTCCAAATTTGACGCATCAGTGACAAAATTCACTATTTTGACTTGTACCATATCTTCCCGCGTATTTTTTCAGGTGAACAATTGATGTGTTTGTGACGGGTGCTACCGGCTTGGGCGGGATACGCTCACCTTTTCGCGAAAACCTGGTGTCATCTATGCTTTCACCAGAGAATATTTTTTATGAATATGGAAAGGGTTTTGTCGCTTTCATTTATCCCCCCAACAAAATCGCACTTTTTTAGCATCGAATCGATGCAGATTGTGTCTACTGTCATGATCCATCATAACGCAGCCATCACGAGGGGCGTCATCCGGTTTACTGCTCATTACTCGTATCAAGTGTGACCCTTCACACAAAAAAGTTTCAGCCATATCTGTGGATTATCATGGCGAGAAAGATAATGCCAACTACATAAGATCAAAGAACATTAACTGAACTCTCTAAAACCATAAAGTGTCGCCAGAAACATCAATTACTTACAATCAGGAAAGTAGTGCGTCATCATCTGACCTAAGGTTATCAACATGGTGTAGGTCTTCAGCAACCCATGCTTGCCGTAAAAGGTGACTATGTTTGTAAGATGCGACTAACGGGATTGGGTGGTCAGCCTCGCTGACTTGTTTGATGCATGTCATCGTTTCCCAACTGCGTGGATCGACGCTCATGGTGTCAATCGATGGAGTCCAGACTCGATTATTTACAGACCGTCATTATGTAGCTGGAATATTGCTGAGTTCGGCGTGAGTTAAACAACAAACACACAAACACCATAGAGTAGCCAATCACGGACCTGGAATTCGATCTCACGCAAGTGTTTGATACCAGTTATCTCTAATGGGTTAAGATCGTGTCTTCTTTCAGAATATGGTGGTTGATCATCTTTTTCACAATGGTCACCTGCCTGCTGTACATTCTGGGCGACCTGTTAACAAGTTACTTGAGGTACCCAGTTATTACCAAGTCGAGTGTGGAATATCTCCCGTCAATGGAGTTCCCCACTATAACCTTCTGCAACGCTAATGGATTCAACAGCAGCATGGCGGAAAACGCTACCGATGTGAAGGAAATGTTCTTGTGGTTTAACCCAATTCTCAGGCGTGTTATAAAAAGGAACACGTCTTCAGTGCTTCCCTCACTGAAGATGCGACAGGACACTCTCTACAAAGCCATGTCCCTCAAGAAAGAGGACTACGTGCTGTTGGCCCTGCTCCGAGAACAGGATGTGAGTCTCGAGATGTTTGACGAGATTAGTGGCAACGTAGGCTACTGCTTCCGGTTTAACAGGTATGGTTTTTTTAACAAACAACCACCTGAATAGAAATATCGTATGCAATGGATGACCGTTGCAATCTCATCAAAGTCAGATCTTAGTTCTCGCTATCGCTAAAGAAAGATCTGAGGACATTCCATTAAGGGTCACGTCAGAACGACCTTTCATCCAACCAATCAGAGCGTCGCTTACCAGATCATGAAACGGACAGTCGAAATGTGTTTTCTAATAATGCAACCACGAAATATTTAACAAGGGGTATTCCGAACGACAGTTTTATGATTATATCCATACAATCTAGGCCATCTATAAGCCATTCCAGAATGTTCTTCTTTTCAGTTTTATTTTTTTTAATCGAGAATACGTCAAAATATGTTTCGAAGCGTAGTCGCCAGTTTAAAACTTGTGTCGATAGCTCGAGAAAGCATCCCTCTGATTGTCTAAATGGCCATTTCTTGTCAGTCATTTCATTGGTCGGACAAAAATCGCGAAAGGTCGTTCTGACGTGACCCGTAATAGGATGTCCTCAGATCTTTGTTTAGCGGTAGTGAAAACTAATATCTGATTTTAATGAGATTGTGACCGTTGTCGACAACAAATGTAGCTTACAGATCTTCCAATTTCTCCTAAAGCGCCCAGTGCTTGATTACGAATGAATGAGTGGGTGATGGAAAGTTCTAGTACTCCTCAATCAGCATTATTATCGGTACTGAATGTAAACAATCGTTTCTGAAAGCTAGATAAACTAAAGGATCTATATTTGTTCCGAATCCACATTAGGCAATGGGGACATATCATACATCGGGATCCAACAAGGGACAAGTGTGTCAATGAAAGTAGATAATCTAGCCTGATAGAGACGGCCATTATCCCATTACTACACCTGTACGGCGCGAGCGCACCTGACAAGGTTGGTTGGTTGGTTGTTTTGTGGTTTAACGCCGCACTCAGCAATATTCCAGCTATATGACGGCGGTCTGTAAATAATCGAGTCTGCACCAGACATTGCAGTGATTAATATCATGAGCATCGATCCACGCATTTGGGATTGATGACATGCATCAACAAAGTCAGAGAGCCTGACCACCCGATCCCGTTAGTCGCCTTTTACGACAACCATAGTCACCTTTTACGGCAAGTATGGGTCGCCGAAGACCTATTCTACCCCGGAATCTTCACGGGTCACCTGACAAGGATGCCACCTAGGCGTCGTATGTCTGATACGCCTGGAGTGACCGTACCAGTGAATACGTCACACACTATACCAAACGGATGACGATGTGTTGCCTGCACAAAAGGTCACCTCAACAGTTCCCTACATAGAAGGCCACTTTAAAGGTAGCCTACATAGACTAAAGGCCTCCCCAAAGATGCCTACATACAAGGCCTCTTCGAAGATTGCCTACATACAAGGCCTCCTCAAAGATTGCCTAAACACGAGGCCTCCTCAACCATAGCCTGCATACAAGGCCATCTCAAAGATTGCCTAAACACGAGGACTCCTCAACGATAGCCTGCATACAAGGGCTCCTCAAAGATTGCCTACATACAAGCCCTCTTCAAAGATTGCCTACATACAAGGGCTCCTCAAAGGCTGCCTACATACAAGGCCTCCTCAAAGATTGCCTACATACAAGGCCTCCTCAAAGGTTGCCTACATACAAGGCCTCCTCAAAGATTGCCTGCATACAAGGGCTCCTCAAAGATTGCCAACATACAAGGCCTCTTCAAAGATTGCCTACATACAAGGCCTCCTCAAAGATTGCCTACATACAAGGCCTCCTCAAAGATTGCCAAAACACGAGGCCTTCTCAAAGATTGCCTGCATACAAGGCCTTCTCAAAGATTGCCTGCATACAAGGGCTCCTCAAAGATTGCCTACATACAAGGCCTCTTCAAAGATTGCCAACATACAAGGCCTCCTCAAAGATTGCCTAAACACGAGGCCTCATCAACGATAGCCTGCATACAAGGCCTCCTCAAAGATTGCCTAAAGACGAGGCCTCCTCAACGATAGCCTGCATACAAGGGCTCCTCAAAGATTGCCTACATACAAGGCCTCCTCAAAGATTGCCCACATACAAGGCCCCCTCAAAGATTGCCTACATACAAGGCCTCTTCAAAGATTGCCTACATACAAGGCCTCCTCAAAGATTGCCTACATACAAGGCCTCCTCAAAGATTGCCTACATACAAGGCCTCCTCAAAGATTGCCTTAACACGAGGCCTCATCAACGATAGCCTGCATACAAGGCCTCCTCAAAGATTGCCTAAACACGAGGCCTCCTCAACGATAGCCTGCATACAAGGGCTCCTCAAAGATTGCCTACATACAAGGGCTCCTCAAAGATTGCCTACATACAAGGCCTCCTCAAAGATTGCCTACATACAAGGCCTCCTCAAAGATTGCCCAAACACGAGGCTCCCTCAACCATAGCCTGCATACAAGGTCTCCTCAAAGATTGCCTAAACACGAGGCCTCCTCAACGATAGCCTGCATACAAGGGCTCCTCAAAGATTGCCTACATACAAGGCCTCCTCAAAGATTGCCTACATACAAGGCCTCCTCAAAGATTGCCTACATACAAGGCCTCCTCAAAGATTGCCAAAACACGAGGCTCCCTCAACGAAAGCCTGCACACAAGGTCTCCTCAAAGATTGCCTACATACAAGGCCTCCTCAAAGATTGTCTCTATAGAAGGCCTCCTCAACGATAGCCTGCATACAAGTAACACTCAAAGATTGCCTACATACAAGGCCTCCTCAAAGAATGCCCTAACACGAGGCCTCATCAACGATAGCCTGCATACAAGGCCTCCTCAAAGATCGCCTAAACACGAGGCCTCCTCAACGATAGCCTGCATACAAGGGCTCCTCAAAGATTGCCTACATACAAGGCCTCCTCAAAGATTGCCTACATACAAGGCCTCCTCAAAGATTGCCTACATACAAGGCCTCCTCAAAGATTGCCCAAACACGAGGCTCCCTCAACGAAAGCCTGCATACAAGGTCTCCTCAAAGATTGCCTAAACACGAGGCCTCCTCAACGATAGCCTGCATACAAGGGCTCCTCAAAGATTGCCTACATACAAGGCCTCCTCAAAGATTGCCTACATACAAGGCCTCCTCAAAGATTGCCTACATACAAGGCCTCCTCAAAGATTGCCAAAACACGAGGCTCCCTCAACGAAAGCCTGCACACAAGGTCTCCTCAAAGATTGCCTACATACAAGGCCTCCTCAAAGATTGTCTCTATAGAAGGCCTCCTCAACGATAGCCTGCATACAAGTAACACTCAAAGATTGCCTACATACAAGGCCTCCTCAAAGAATGCCCTAACACGAGGCCTCATCAACGATAGCCTGCATACAAGGCCTCCTCAAAGATCGCCTAAACACGAGGCCTCCTCAACGATAGCCTGCATACAAGGGCTCCTCAAAGATTGCCTACATACAAGGCCTCCTCAAAGATTGCCTACATACAAGGCCTCCTCAAAGATTGCCTACATACAAGGCCTCCTCAAAGATTGCCCAAACACGAGGCTCCCTCAACGAAAGCCTGCATACAAGGTCTCCTCAAAGATTGCCTAAACACGAGGCCTCCTCAACGATAGCCTGCATACAAGGGCTCCTCAAAGATTGCCTACATACAAGGCCTCCTCAAAGATTGCCTACATACAAGGCCTCCTCAAAGATTGCCTACATACAAGGCCTCCTCAAAGATTGCCCAAACACGAGGCTCCCTCAACGAAAGCCTGCATACAAGGTCTCCTCAAAGATTGCCTACATACAAGGCCTCCTCAAAGATTGTCTCTATAGAAGGCCTCCTCAACGATAGCCTGCATACAAGTAACACTCAAAGATTGCCTACATACAAGGCCTCCTCAAAGATTGCCCAAACACGAGGCTCCCTCAACGAAAGCCTGCACACAAGGTCTCCTCAAAGATTGCCTACATACAAGGCCTCCTCAAAGATTGTCTCTACAGAAGGCCTCCTCAACGATAGCCTGCATACAAGTAACACTCAAAGATTGCCTACATACAAGGCCTCCTCAAAGAATGCCCTAACACGAGGCCTCCTCAAAGTTTGCCTACGTACAAGGCCTCCTCAAAGATTGCCTGCATACAAGGCCTCCTCAAAGATTGCCTAAACACGAGGCCTCCTCAACGATAGCCTGCATACAAGGGCTCCTCAAAGATTGCCTACATACAAGGCCTCCTCAAAGATTGCCTACATACAAGGCCTCCTTAACTATATCTTGCATACAAGGCCTCCTCAACGATTGCCTGCATACAGGGCCCCCTTAACGATATCCTGCATACAAGGCCTCCTCAACGATTGCCTACATACAAGGGGTGCCTCAAAGATTGCCTAAAAAGCCTCCTTAACGATTGCCTCCTTAGTAAGCCGACTCAAAGACTGACTACATAGAATGCCTCCTCAAATATTGCCTTCATCGAAGGCCTCCTCAAAGATTGCCTACATATCAGGGCACCTCAAAGACTACCTACATATATGGCTACCTCAAAGATTGCCAACATAGAAGGCCACATCAACGATTTCCTATATGCCAGTTTACACTACAAGGACACTTTAAAGATTGCCTAGATAGAGTGCCACCTTAACGGTTGGCTCCATCGAAGGCCACCTCAAAGGTTAATCCACACTTTAGCTAATTTAATAATGTCATAAGTCATGATAATAGGAGCCCCTTCAATGTCAACTTGGTTTCAGCCATCTAATGAACTTCCAGTCGCCCTTCTATAACCGTCAATGACAGAGTTGGGGGACCTGCATGTTTGCATCATAAATAGACAAAAAATTGTATTTGTATTTTTCTCATATCACTTTGTACTATTTAACAAGCTAGGCATTTTAAACAGACTTCGGTGGAAGCGATTTTCGATTTTCTCCGACATCACTTCCGAAAAGTGTTTGAAACTCATCACCAGTTTAATTTCATTCATACTACAGTGTCTGTTTGTTAGCGAACAAATGATCCGGCGCCATGGAGCCCAGACAGCAGGCGTCCCAGGCCCGTCGGGGTCCCTGCAACTGCTCCTGGACATCCACCAGGAGAACAACTTTCCCGGCCCATACAACCAGGCAGCCATGATGGTAATAGTGTTCACTACTTCCCTAAACACTCATCTTCCCGAGGCAAGGGAGTTAACTGACTTTAAAAGTCCAGCTTCCACCGTTGACGAACTAGGCTGCAATTATGGAGTTATTTTTTGTACGGATAAGAATTTATGGATGAACAACTTCTTTATCACAATTAAGAGCGACTTTTCGGTGCAGGTTCTAACACCGTTATCAAGCAAGTGATTTACAGAGTGTAGTTGGCAAGTATATTTACAAGTAAGAGGCATTGATTATACAGTAGAGTAGATATTGTTATACTGGCGTAGAGAAGCCAGTTATGTACACACAAGGGTAGTGATGACAATCATCGGTGAAGTCAGTGACATAAACAAAGGATGAAGCCAGAAATATAAACAACGGGATTATGGCTGATTGGGGTCTTTGATGAATTGATGGTACGCCGGGGGTATTAAAGAAGTTGTTCATCCATAAAATGCTTACTTAGTACTCCAACTTCTAAATGCCTATCAAAGAAGTTATTTTTTGTCTGGACTAACGAGTCTATGCATAGGCCAAACAAAATCTTGTAACGAAATCGACATCTGTTTCATCAATACCATGGCAGCTGCCGTACCGAATTCGTTCGATTGCATGATTTGCAAAGCGTGTGTACCATCAATATGCCGTCAACAAATCTTTTCATGTTTTTAATCAAGTTGCTCGCGTGATTTGATGCACTTCGCGAAGTGAGACCAGTTGTATTACAATATACATTTTGATTATCGATCAGATCTTCTTGACTGTGCCCCGCCATTTTGTTTGAAGCAAACTGCTAGTGATAAGAGAAGTGGAATCTGATTGGTCAGTAGTGGGGAAATAAAAGGGACATAACTTGTAATAGCCACTGGTGGCGCTACGATCGAGACCAGAAATTCCAGCCAAGTCAGTTAATTTCCCATGTGAAGATGCTAAACCCTGTGAAACAGAGACCATGAAATAGGCTTCTTTATGGTCTCTGCTGTGAAATGACGCTCACAAATGTCCACTGGTCTGTATAATAATGACCGCCTCCGTGGTCCAGTGGTAGAGCGTCCGCCCGGAGAGCGGAAGGTCCGGGGTTCGATCCCCGACCGCGTCATACCAAAAGACGTTAAAAGATGGTACTTGTTGTAACTCTGTCTGGCGCTCGGCATTAAGGGGCTAAAACAAGGACTGGTCGGCTCGGAGTCAGTATACTGTGTCTGAGTGGGGTATTCATGTTAAACTGCGGCATGGTATCTCAGTGAGCTAGCACTATAAATCGGCATCAGTCCGGACTAGTACAAGCAGCCACACAAACACACACACGTACATGCAGGTCGCTATATAAGTGCAATAATCTTGGACGCGACGTTAAACCCCATTTCACCTCACCTAAACCTGTATGATAAGGTAAACAAAAATATGAAATCGCACTGCCGAAAGGAAAATAAGATTTAAGTTCTATTGCTATTGGAGAAAGAGCTCTACACGGCCGAGCTGAGGTAAAAGTGGAATCTATCCACTTGTTGGTGGCTTATAACGCTGCATGATTCTGTCAGACACTGCCTAGTGATCCACTTGCATCCACAATGTTCGCGTGTTACCATTACTCGAAAGAGGATTTAACAGCATTAAGACTTGTAAAGTAATCCGGAGTTGACTGATCTGCTACAGGTATACATCAATCACCCGTCCGACAAGCAGAGTTTTATTGATCCCGCGATTGCTGTGGCCCCAGGAACGACAGCTTACATCTCCATGACCAAACACCAGGTAGGCGACGTTCTGTAAAACTTTATGTTTCTTTGACAATATTTGATGTAGTAAAATAGAAAGATATCTAAGCGCGAGCATTTCTAAACACACAGCCAATGACAACCTCATCGCATATTGGATTAAATTGGGCATAGTTGATGTTGCAGTATTGACAGCGGCTGTATCTCAACTTAACTTGCACTGAAACCTACCACTAGGACCTGTACAGGGTATGCACATGAGGTGATGTCACCTGGCCAGCGTAGGCCCTCTGAGTCTGAAGTGACCACACCCATGAAACGTGCCTACAGTGATTGCTTCCTCAACGTTGCCTGCAATGGGGGCTTCCTCAACGTCTCCTGCAGTGAGGGCTTCCTCAACGTTGCCTGCAGTGATTGCTTCCTCAACGTCTCATGCAGTGAGGGCTTCCTAAACTGGCTGCTGTAAATGATTGAAGAACGTTGCTTGCAGTGAGGGCTTCCTCAACGTTGCTTGCAGTGAGGGCTACCTAAACCGGCTGCTGTAAATGATTGAAGAACGTTGCTTGCAGTGAGGGCTTCCTCAACGTTTCCTGCAGTGAGGGCTTTCTCAACGTTGCTTGCAGTGAGGGCTTCCTCAACGCCTCATGCAGTAAGGGCTTCCTAAACCGGCTGCTGTGAATGATTGAACGACGTTGCTTGCAGTGAGGACTTCCTCAACGCTGCTTGCAGCGGGGGCTTTCTCAACGTTGCCTGCAGTGAGGGCTTTCTCAACGTTGCCTGCAGTGAGGGCTTCCTCAACGTCTCCTGCAGTAAGGGCTTCCTCAACATCTCCCGCAGTGAGGGCTTCTTCAACAACGTATCCTGTGTTGCCTGCAGTTAGGGCTTCCTCAACATCTCAAGCAGTGAGGGCTTCCTCAACATCTCCTGCAGTGAGGGCTTCCTCAACGTTGCCTGCAGTGAGGGCTTCCTAAACGTTGCCTGCAGTGATTGCTTCCTCAACGTCTCATGCAGTAAGGGCTTCCTAAACCGGCTGCTGTGAATGATTGAACGACGTTGCTTGCAGTGAGGACTTCCTCAACGCTGCTTGCAGCGGGGGCCTCCTCAACGTTGCCTGCAGTGAGGGCTTTCTCAACGTTGCCTGCAGTGAGGGCTTCCTCAACGTCTCCTGCATTAAGGGCTTCCTCAACATCTCCCGCAGTGAGGGCTTCTTCAACAACGTATCCTGCAGTGAGGGCTTCCTAAACCGGCTGCTGTAAATGATTGAACAACATTGCTTGCAGTGAGGGCTTCCTGTGTGTTGCCTGCAGTTAGGGCTTCCTCAACATCTCAAGCAGTGAGGGCTTCCTCAACATCTCCTGCAGTGAGGGCTTCCTCAACGTTGCCTGCAGTGAGGGCTTCCTCAACGTTGCCTGCAGTGATTGCTTCCTCAACCTCTCATGCAGTAAGGGCTTCCTAAACCGGCTGCTGTGAATGATTGAACGACGTTGCTTGCAGTGAGGACTTCCTCAACGCTGCTTGCAGCGGGGGCCTCCTCAACGTTGCCTGCAGTGAGGGCTTTCTCAACGTTGCCTGCAGTGAGGGCTTCCTCAACGTCTCCTGCATTAAGGGCTTCCTCAACATCTCCCGCAGTGAGGGCTTCTTCAACAACGTATCCTGCAGTGAGGGCTTCCTAAACCGGCTGCTGTAAATGATTGAACAACATTGCCTGCAGTGAGGGCTTCCTGTGTGTTGCCTGCAGTTAGGGCTTCCTCAACATCTCAAGCAGTGAGGGCTTCCTCAACATCTCCTGCAGTGAGGGCTTCCTCAACGTTGCCTGCAGTGAGGGCTTCCTCAACGTTGCCTGCAGTGATTGCTTCCTCAACCTCTCATGCAGTAAGGGCTTCCTAAACCGGCTGCTGTGAATGATTGAACAACGTTGCCTGCAGTGAGGGCTTCCTCAACGTTGCCTACATGGAAGGCTTCCTAAAAAAATGCCTGAAAGAAGAGCTGCACCACAGTGAACATTTTTTCAATGCCGACATCGTCAGATATCGAATAAACTTGTTTGGGGGCGAAGCTTCCCTGTATTGACTCAGGTCTTACATAAATCTCACGTGAGGCAGAGGCTTTGACTTTTTTAAGTTTTATCACAGTGCGTCAGCGTAATGTGAGAGGAAAGCCCAAAGTACCGCGCTGGCAATATTTTATCCTTCTTGTCAGTTGCGTATGTATTATGACTCCTAAACGATCTGCTACATGTTTTTACTGGCAGTACAAGTTCCTGCCGAAGCCGTACAAGTCGTTTGGTGCTGACAACTGCCTTGACACCGACAGTCCCAGCTTCAGGAACCCCCTGAAGTATGCGCCTACCTACAGCTGGGAGGCATGCATCTCAGAGTGTCTCTCCCACTACACCACCACCAACTGTGGGTGTAAGTCCATTGAAGACCCTGGTAAGTGTGATACCCGACTCTCCTCCACCAACTGTGAGTGTAAGTCCATTGAAGACCCTGGTAAGTGTGATACCCGACTCTCCTCCACCAACTGTGGGTGTAAGACCATTACCGACCATGGTAAGTGTTATACCCGACTCTCCTCCAGCAACTGTGGGTATAAGACCACTGCAGATCCTGGTAAGTGTGATACCCAACTCTCCACCACCAACTGTGGGTATAAGACCACTGCAGACCCGGGTAAGTGTGACACCCAACTCTCCACCACCAACTGTGGGTATAAGACCACTGCAGACCCTGGTAAGTGTGATACCTAACTCTCCACCACCAACTGTGGGTGTAAGACCATTACCGACCCGGGTAAGTGTGATACCCGATTCTCCTCCACCAACTATGAGTGCAAGCCCATTACAGACCCGGGTAGGTGTGGTACCCGACTCTCCTCCACCAACTGTGAGTGTGAGACCATTGCAGATCCGGGCAAGTGTGGTACCCGACTCTCCACAATAATCGCGGATATACGACAATTGCAGACCCCTTTTAAGTGCAGTGCCCGACTCGATCTCCACCACCATATGTGGGCCAGTGGCAACTGCAGACCCGATTAGGTCCAGGCCACTGTGATGTATAGCACTCCTGGCCTTCTTAAGCACATGTACCTCTATCTACAATTTCATGTTTCAGACGAGCTGCCCTACCCGTACTGCACGATGGAGGGGTTCATGACCTGTTCATTGGGCTACATGCGTAAGGGGCTGTTCATTCACCACGTCATCCACGACAATCCCGTTTATGACATAGCCATTGCATTATGATTAACACCCTGGACCAAATCGCTACAAAACGGAAGTGACGTCACAATCTCATTCGCTCAAATCACAAAGTGTTTGTGTTGTTAGACGGACATTGCTGATAAGACGGCTATTTTTAGCGCCGGGCATTGGGCTGTGACAGAACGATGCCATGACGGCCTATGTTAGCATGGTTGTCAATCGGCCAAGGGTATTTATCCCAATACAAGAAGAGGGTGTGAATCAGCTAAAACAGTGTTCGCTCTCCTCGCACATACCTTAATGGATTTCATATATTATATATGAAAAGGGAGGGGTCCAAAATATCAAAATCCTCTCTCAGGTAATTTAACAGCCTACACCATAGTACATTTGGTTGTCAAAGGTGGGCGGACCCCCTGGATCCTCCTGTGTCATGGCACCCAAATACTTAGGCCTCAATCCCGTTTCCGACCCGTGAAGATACGGGCTAGAATAGGTCATCCGCAACCCATTCTTGCCATAAGAGGTGACTGTCGGAATCGGGTTGTTATGCTCGCTGACTTCATGTTATCGTACCCCAATTGAGTAGATCGATGCTCATGATGTCAATCACTGGATTGTCTGGTCCAGATTCGATTATTTACAGACCTCCATCATATAGCTGGAATATTGTTGAGTGCGGCGCTAAACAACAAACAAACAAACAATCCCGTTTCTCGTCCGAGTTTCGTCCCTTGGGACCGAACATTTGATATTCTTGGGGGCGGGGCCTATGATTCTGTATCGAGATTGGATACCATGTCAGCAGCTTCGGCTGCAAACCCAGGTATTGTTTAGATCTTTATTTTTTATGAGCCTGACTTTTTTAAAGAATAACACCTAACAAAAATGTATGTTTATGGCAGGCAAATTCTTTTTTTCTCCAGAAATCTGAAGCATTATTATTTTTATCAAGAATTTTCAGGGACAATTCATTCTTTTCGATAAAATCCCATTCGGTCCCTTAGAGGTGACAGGATCTGGTGGTCGTGAGTTTAAGTTAACCTTATCTGATCCGAGTTTTATCAGCAATACCCACATCCGTTGAATTCATCAAAGTAAACGTCTGCATAGCTGTCCTGCTTCAATATGGTGACACGCCGTCCTGAAACCGAAGTGCTGTCACGCGGCGTAAGGCCAACTTGTCCCCCACAATGTTGGAGTGAGTGAGTGAGTATGGTTTTACGCCGCTTTAAGCAATATTCCAGCAATATCACGGCGGGGGACACCAGAAATGGGCTTCACACAATGTACCCATGTCGGGAATCGAACCCGGGTCTTCGGCGTGATGAGCGAACGCTTTAACCACTAGGCTACCCGTGACATATGTGGTGACATATTTAGCAAGAATGAGGTAGGGTTTGATATTAGATTTTCTATAGGTTAACCTTCGTTGTTTTTGTTTAGAAACCATATACGTCAACCATACGTCACAGCGAGAACTCTGCCACTGCGAGAAGCCGTGTAGATTCTTTGTGTACGACACCAAACTATCCTATGGAGCATTCCCATCCATGGCGGTCACCAACTATATGGTTGAGAATAACTTTGTGCCGTCGGCTGAATATGCCAGGTACGTGTATGTCACCTTGTTTCATCTGAATCTTTGTTACGATATGTTACCCAACTATATATAGAAAGGGAAAATTGTTTCATAACCATCTGTACCACACAGCCCGGGTCATCTTCCCGAGGCAAGAGCGTTAACTGACTTTAAAAGTCCAGTTTCCACCCTTGCCGAACTAGGCTGGAATAACTGGGCTCGATCGTAGCGCCACCAGTGGCTATTACCAGTTATGCCACTTCTAAGCCTCTCCTACGGACCAATCAGATTCCACCTCTCGTATCACTTGCGTTCGCTTCACACAAAATGGTGGGACCCAGTCAGGGCGATCTGATCGATAATCAAGATCTATATTGTGAAAAAACGGGTCTTATACCACGAAACGCATCAAATGACGTGAGCACCTTAACTAAAAACATGAAAAGATTTGCAAAATATCTGCTGACAACGAGTTGGCGCGGCACATGTTTTGCAAATCATGCAATCGACGAAAATCTGCACGACAGTTTACGAACCGGATTTCGATTTCGGTGCGCGATTTTGATTGGACTATGCATAGACTCGTTAGTCCAGCCAAAAGGTAACTCCATAATCCCAGCCTAGTTCGGCAAGTGAGTGAGTGAGTATGGTTTTACGCCGCTTTTAGCAATATTCCAGCAATATCACGGCGGGGGACACCAGAAATGGGCTTCACACATTGTACCCATGTCGGGAATCGAACCCGGGTCTTCGGCGTGACGAGCGAGTTCGGCAAGGGTGGAAACTGGACTTTTATAGTCAGTTAACTCTCTTGCCTCGGGAAGATGGCCCGGGTATATTACTGTAGGATTAAAATGGGTCGCAGATTTACTCTCTACGTTTGTGATATCAATAATTCATTTTAGCTTTCGTAAAAGCGGTGGGGTACCTAGACTTGCACACGTCTCTAGGGCAATACTTTTTAGTTTCAATCATAACTTCTAGATTATATAAATACTAAGGATAAGTTGCCCCTATAAGAGACGTACTTAGATGTACTGTCCGCCTACCTGCACGGCCCCGTTCAACAATGCGATCTTAGCGCTAAGTCTGTCGTAAGTCTATGTTAAAGTATGGAGTTACGATCGTCTTACGGCTACGATCGCTTTGTGGAACGGGACCCTGGACTTGCCTATTGTAAGAACTATTGTAGAACTGCTATACGTACATTGACTTATCATTCAGTACATCCTTAGAGCAAGGCTACGATGTAGCCTGTTGGTTAAGGAATACGCTCGTCATACAAGTCCCGGATCGAATCCCCACACACGGTTTTAGTTATTGGTTTGCCTGGTCCAGACTCGATTTGGCTGGTCCACATTCGATAATTTACAAACCGCCGTCTACACTGAATATTGATGACGGTGGCGTAAAACAACATTCACTCTCACGGAGAAATGTCAACATAACGTTCATGAAGCTGTTATTATGTAGCATTATTCCAATTGCGTGGATCGATGCTCATGATATCAATCACTGGATTGTCTGGTTCAGACTCGATTATTTAAAGACCGCCGTCATATAGCTGGAATATTGCTGAGTGCGGCGTTAAACAACAAACAAATCGAACAATTTATTCCATAGTGTTTCAACGTAAAACAGTTAATGACATGGTTCATTTGTGTGTGTACGCACATTTACTGGTATACTTTGCTTCATGGTCAAGCCAAATCCGTGGTCATTTGTTTTGAAACTGGAATTTCTACGCCGCTCTAAGCAAAACGTATATATGTGGACCAGCAAATGAATACAAATATACGGCTTATGAAACGACTGTTAATAGCCACCATTCATTACAGACAAAATCTGATGCACATCAACATATGGTACGAAAGGTTGATCATACAAAAGCTTGAATACGAGCCGGAGTACACATTGAACTCTATTGTAGGTAAGTTGTCTCCCTTTTTATTGAAATTTTACCACTTATTCATGATTGTAATTTTTCGATGCAAATCATGTTATACTTGCATTGACATGTATGATTTATTAGTATGGTGGAGTGTCATAAAAGATAAACAGTTAGGCGCGATACGCTTCAAGGATAAAGGGCTTAAATCTGCATTTTTACACTATATTGCCACCATAAATTCTCAAAGATACGTCCTTTGACGAAGAGTTAAAGTAGAATCGACACATGGTTCTGTACACTGGTCTCAGATTCTAAACACATAGGCGTCACTCGGCTTACCTCAGTCCCGCATGTCATCTCGGTCAGTAATGAGAGGAATCCATATTTGAACTGGATTCATGTTTAGTTTCACCTGTTTACGTGACTATCATATTACATCTATTTTATCATGAAATTCATAGTAAAGACATAAGAAAATCGAGGATCAAACCATGCAATATCGCTATTGTGTGCACTCCACTGCAGGATGTCATTCGTGAATAAAAGCGACAATATCCTTTCCATATTCATTTTAAAAATACATGTTAAAAGCGGAGGCGATTGTACTATTCCGAATATATCCTGAGCATGTGTTTATGCATCACTGTCACATAGTGATGATACTAGGTTTCCTGCCCTACCGGTGGTACCCGTCACAAACACACGCAAAGGCAAGACAATTGTTCACCTGAACATATGGTACGAGTCAAAATAGGGAATTGCATGGGACATCAATCTGTGCCATTCCGGAATAAGCCGAATAGGCATTCTTGTAGGCTGCGGAAAGATACGAGTTGTGACGAAGGATCCCTGTTGGTTTTTGTTGGTAACGGAATAAGCCGAGTGGATCGAATGATGCGGGTGTTTACTACATAGAGTGCCCTCACTCAAAAATCTTCAGTTCGCTACGTAATAGTATGGCATTGTTCGTTTTTTCTCTTGCTATCAACCACTCGTTTGCCTGCCCCAGATTCGATTATTTACATGCCGCTGTGATGCAGATTGTATATTACTGACTGCTACGTATTTCAAGTGACTCACAGTGTTATTGTTTGTTTCTAGGCACCCTGGGAGGTCAGATGGGTTTCTTCCTTGGGGCGAGCATTGTGACGCTCTATGAACTGTTTGAAGCCTGCGTGTACTCGGTCAAGGCCTTTGTCAAGAACCGTATTACTCGGAAACAAACACACCGCACTCATCCGGGGCACTAGAATCCCATCATCCTCTGCATGCTGTGTACTGTTCACGCATGGCTGGCTTACGGTCTAGGTTGAAGTTATTGTTTTGAAAACTTGCTGATTTTGTCTGAACAATAAATAACGCTTGAGGTCCATAGTTTGGATGATGGCATTTATCAAAATCGGCTAAGATTATTACACGTTTCATTTGTTCAATAGAATTTAATGAAAAATACTTGGTAAATGTGTCTATGAACTTTTATTATTTTGCAGGGTTAAATCATGAAATTAGAGACAACAGGGAGATACAATAATTCATAATTCATTCAAGTTTGCTTGATAACGGTGTTAGAACCTACACAGAAACGTCGCTCCTAATTGTAATAAAGAAGTTGTTCATCCATATATCTTATCTTTACTTAGTACTCCAACTTCTAAATGCCTCTCAAAGAAGTTATAATAATTCATGTTGATGCACTGGTGTAGACAGCCAGGAAGCTGTTTAGTCCAGCGCAACCTCTTAAAGATGAAAAAGAATTTCCAGGAATTCATCTTGAAAAAGCAAATTTACTGAAACGCCATGACAAAACCATCATGTACAGACCCAGTTCAATACCAATCATATACTTCAGAGCGGTAGATATCGATACGTTTAGCTCTTACAGAAGCGCACGTAAAATATAGAATATGTTGTTATTTGGGGATTTTATTTCACCATCTACACATTTGTGGACGACACACCACAATACTGGTGTATTTATTATTGAGAAAACAGCTCAGTGAATTAGTCAAACTAGTCTGAGAGTAATTGTGTCTTTTGTTCGGACATATTTGTTGACAATACTCTAAAAACAAATATTCATTGACAGTGCTGGTGCCTGGGGCTTTTTTTCAACATATGTGCAAATCTCCACACCTGAAGCCTGTTGCTGCATCTGATCTTGTGAATGTCAGAGGATAGGCCAAGTGGTTCAATAGTTCTTACATCATACAAAATACCTGGTTCACATCTCAGAATAGCTTGTCATAACCATTTTTGGGTGTCTTTTTGGTATATGTGACTATATAGTTTCTGCTAAAACTGTAGGCCAAGGTTCAGTTTTCTATGCAATCTTGATCAGAATTTGTGTGCATGGAGTCACTTAGGCAATATACAAAATGGATTTGTTGTCTTCAAGGCTCCAACATATTAATTCTGCTACTTGAAACACTTGCTTGTTGTAAGAAGTGACTAACAGGATTGGGTGGTTAGGCTGGCTCCCACTTTCTCATGACATCAATCACTGAATTGTTTGGTCCAGACTTGGTTATTTACAGACCCCTGTCATTTAGCTGGAATGTTGCTGAGTGCGGCGTTAAACATACAAACAAACAAACAATCTTCACAGGGGCCTTGACCTTACACAGAGTCCCTCACTACTTTCTTGTTTTCCTAAGTACTTCTTAGACCGCACTCAGCAATCTTCAAGCTATATGATGATAGTAGCTTTTCAGTTTTCTGCCCGACTCAAGGGATGCTATGCACCTGGCTTCATCCTCCCACAGTAACTGCTTTCGAGTTACCCTAGACAAACTCTCTTCAGTCCATAATTAACCTTGGGTATGATCTTGACCCTTAAAACAAAAGATCAAGATCAAATTGAGGTGAGGTGAAATGGGGTTTAATGTCGCGTTCAAGATTATTGCACTTAAATCGCAATGTGCATGAATGTGTGTGTGGCTGCTTGTACTAGTCCAGACTAATGCCAGTTTAATGGCGCCAGCCAACTGAGATACCATGCCACAGTTTGGATACCCCACTCAGTATACTACCAGTCCATGTCTTATTCCCCTTTAATGTCAGGTAGCCTAGTGGTTAAAGCGTTCGCTCGTCATGCCGAAGACCCGGGTTTGATTCCCGACATGGGTACAATGTGTGAAGCCCATTTCTGGTGTCCCCCGCCGTGATCTTGCTGGAGTGTTGCTTAAAGCGTCCTAAAACCACACTCACTCACTCACTTTAATGCCGAGCACCAAACAGGGTAACAACAAGAACCATTTTTTAATGTCTTTTGATGTATGACACATCCAGGAATTGATTCACTGACCTCCAACACTGTGTCACATCCCTGCCAAAGGTGAACAATTCTGACAAATGTTAACGCATCCCATTTCTATGGGTCGGTTTAATGTTTGTTTGTTTGTTTTTTTGTTTAACACCACTCAGCAATATTCCAGCTATATGACAGCGGTCTGTAAATAATCGAGTCTGAACCAGACAATCCAGTGATTGACATCATGAGCATCGATCACATGCATCAGCCAAGTCAGTGAGCCTGACCACCCAAACCCATTTGTCGCCTCTTACGACAAGCACTGTCTCTTTTTACAGCAAGCATGGGCTGCCAAGACCCCGGATCTTCACGGGTCATCTGTTCAAGGTGAGGTGAAATGGGGTTTAACGTCGCATCCAAGATTATTGCACTTATATAGCAACGTGCATGTACGTGTGTGTGTTTGTGTGGCTGCTTGTACTAGTCCGGACTGATGCCGATTTATAGTCCTAGCTCACTGAGATACCATGCCGCAGTTTAACATGAATATCCTACTCAGACACAGTATACTGACTCCGAGCCGACCAGTCCTTGTTTAAGCCCCTTAATGCCGAGCGCCAGACAGGGTAACAACAAGTACCATCTTTTAACATCGTTTGGTATGATGCGGCCGGGGATCGAACCCCGGACCTTCCGCTCTTCGGGCGGACTCTCTACCACTGGACCACGGAGGCGGTCTCGTCTGTTCAATGAGTACAACACAGGTATAGTTCACACACCATTTATTGATGATTGTGGTACTGTAGGAGCAGCAGAAGGTAGTACAGCAAGGAGGGTCAGCTGACTATAGGGCTAGTACATGTGGTTATCATCGTAACTCATGCGTAGCTACAGTCGTAACTCACATGTAGCTACGCATATACAACTTGACCAAAGTCATACAAAAGTCATACATAGGTATGCCAACTCAATCATGCCACATACACAGTGCATGATTGCATACACAGCGTGAACACTCGTGTATGTGCAATACAGATATGATATTGCATAAAAATGTAGGTAAAGTAAAATGCTGGGTACAAGCTGCTTCTTATCATCATGCTTACATAGGTCACACGTAGTACGCAGATAGGGGTAAAGACTCATGGTAGCCAGCCAACTAACATCATTACGTTACTCTGCCTAGAGGAATACCCTAACATACCGTATTCGATGTAATAAGCGCCCTGCCCTAATAAGCACTCACGGCGATGTTTGCTAATATATTGGCAAGTGAACAATCCCAATTAGCACCGCTTCAGATTGATCAATGTACACAAGACTTAATTTAGACAAGACAAATTTATTTGTGTATAATACGCACTGGTGTGTTATATGCACCCTTAATTATTGGCAATTAAATTCTGGAAAATATATGTGTCGTATATAAACATTTTAGGCTGTCAGCATAAACCACAAAATTAACCATCTTTCAACTATTATTTTCACCAAAATAATATTCTAATAAGAGCCTCCTATTTCTAATTTTGAGAGTGCCCTGGGTGCTTATTATGTAGAATACGGTACATCAAATCTTTTGAAATGACAATAAATAGTCAACTACAAAAATATCAAATCTACAAATTCAAAAAATATCTCTCATGCTTTATTGCTGGTTTAGAAACATTGTATGTTGACATTGACAACTTGGAGGGAGATGATGACAGCAAGATCTTAGTAGTTTAACATGCATGCACCAAGATATCACGTTCCCAAGTACACAGTCACAAATAACTTATTGCAATGAAAAAATTGTTTATTAATAAACTGGTGAAAAATAAACAATTGATGTTTTATCTTACAACATGTCACGTCACAACCATGCTTGTTAAAATACCCAAACAACCTCAGAAAATACCTTGTGTGAAAATATCCGTGATGGGCTTATGTATTGCTAATATATAAGGCCAAAGATCACACAGTCAGGAATTTCATTGAACTAGCACTTTAAGCACCTTTTATAATGCTCAAAAATATGGCATAACTGTAAACTACACATGAAAACTATTCACAGATTAATGGCCAACTTTATCACATTGTACATTAGTTTCATCAGACTTGTCCATCATGGTCCACTGCAAAGGAAATTCATTTAATCGATCAGAGTAATATCATAATGTGTATGGTTATCTCCCTTGAATCAGATCATAACTTCACTAATGAAATCACAAATATGTACAGTCATACGCGCTGACAGATTAAGTTGTCATGGCGATCTTTTAAATATCTAGAAATATTTGGCGCCTTAAACATCCGGTGAAATTTCGAAAAAGAAAAAAATTGCAAGCACTTTAAGATGGTGTGCCAGCTAAAATACAAAAGAAGATATTATGGACAAAATTTACAAATAAAACTGACAGAAGGAACCACGAAGGGCGTATGTACAGCATCGATTACAAGAGGGCCAAGTTCCAATAAACTGCATCCAAAAGCCTCATCATATATGCTTCCAAATGACTATTTATCATAATCTCAAAATAAATTTCAAACAGTTTACACCAGAGTCAAGCAGATTCAGTCCTATAAAAGACCTTTCTTAATTCCTAAACCAAAAAACGTACACACAAAAAGAGGTTACGATGGTTGCAGTTTCGATGTTTTGATGAAATCAGTTATGGTAGAGAATCAGGATAGGTAGATGTGTCTTCGCCTTTCGAGCAACAATAATTTATATACAGCGAACACGGGCAAGTTAACCAAGTTGTGATGATAACAATGAAGACAATCTGAAGTGGAGATTATGATGTCTATTTTTGGTGTAAATCTGCAATCAAGACCTACATCCATATGCAAAACACAGAGAAAACTCTGCGACATATGCATCCTACCTTCCACTCACAACTAGGAGTCACAGACACTCAAGGAAGGAGGGTTTATACTGTGGCATTTGCATATTGTTTGTTTCTTTGTGTCTTGGCGACAGCTTTGGTTCATCCATCCATTGTCACATAGTTTCTTCAAAAACTGAACACACTTCGACTCCTCAGAATCAGTGAATAACGAAAATATATATATTCTGAGGATCAACAATCCAGTGTCCAGTTCAATTTGACAGACTGTATGGTTTTGACAGCAAGAAGCATCAAAGGTTTTATCACAACAACATCCTGGGAAGAACGGTGCACTTGGAACACCAGAATTGTTTTCCATATCTTCTCATATGTATTTGGCAGAGTTGTCTTCCCTTTGGCCATAGTGGGAACTGTCCACAAACCTTGCATATTCGAATCTTTCTTTGGACTATTCTAATTTAATGAAACCTATTTCGGCTCCATATTTTAAAGAGCTTTTTCAGAGTTTGACAAAAATCATCTTGTCAGTAGAGTTGTTCTATGTTAATTGATGGTTAATAGTCTTAGCTTCCTTGTAAGGAGACTGGTTAGAAATGGCTGGAGCACTGTCTCTCCTTGTCAGGGTTAGATAAATTGCCCTCTTCCACATGACGAGAAGAGTTGTCTCCCTTGTTAGAGTTATGTCCCTTATGTTAGACATCTGGGATACTTTTCTTTAACTCCTGAATCTGTTCCTCTCCAAGCATAATCTTGTCCTCCAAGTCCTGTCTGTCTATTGTCAGTTTCGACTTCATCTTAATGAAGTACATGTAATCATCAAATTCGTCATCGGAAAGGAAGTTACGAAGCATCGTAGCCACACTTTCACTGCGCTCGTCAATGTCTTCCTTTAATCCTTTGGCATCCTGGTACTTGGCATTGAGACGTTCACGCTTGTCGATTGTCATTTTCTGTAAAACAATGCATATAATTTAAATATCCATATTTTATCAGCCGCTATACTCTCTCAATGAGCTAGAGTTGAAATATTAAAGACCAGTCATCTGAAACATTGATTATTGTTGTTGGGGCAATATTATCTTTTCTGACATTTTCATTCCAAACATGTCACATGATCCTACGTACGCTAGAACTGCCAAAACCTTGGCTACTCAGCAGCCATATCAACCCATGCAAGGGCCATGCTTTATATATCATCCAAAAATTGGTTTCCACAAGAGATGACGCTGGTGCAGACCATTGTGATGTCATACAGTCACAATCAAATGACACCACTAATCTCTCTTCCCATGAAGCTGATAAGCTCTACTTCTTACACTCAAGACACTGGTTATTTCTGTTTTCAAACAGAAAAAGTTGGAAGCCTTGGATATTTTCAACTTTTATCACCAATCATCTTATATATTTGATCTCAGAGGATGAGATTTTTTTTAGGCTAAAAAAATAATAGTCTTGGTTCCCAGGCACCGCCCACATCATCATAAAGTCCACAGCACCTTTCGTTATTATTTCCATTTTCAAAAATAAATAATCTTAAAATATTCTGCATCTCTAACACACAACCCTGGCAGTGAAATGCTACAATACTTAAGAACAACATGATTTCACGGCTATTATTGTGAACAAAATTTGATTACATACTAGCTTGTACAACTCCTCCCACCCCACCTCATCCAAAAGAAACACCACTCCCGCTCTATATTTTCAAAAGCCATTGCCTGAGAACCAATTCTCTTATTTTAAAACCTTACATATCTGTCACCAGTGTGTCAGGACAGTGTTTTTACCTTGGTCTTGGCATCAACGTTGGGCCCAAGACTCTGCACTGCATTCTCAGCTCTCGCCAGCTGCCCCGACAAGTTGAGCATGAGGCGTACAATCTTCTCCAGCTCATCAATGAAGCGGTTGAACTTGCCCTTCTCTGCCGGAGTGCGCGCCTGTCTCTCCACCACCTCACACACCTGGGGAAGGAAGAGCGGTGTTACAGTCAGCAGACGGCACAGATGCATTAGACTTTTCTATTACCCATAGGGTTAGAAACAACAGTCATAAAAATAAGTAAACCCCACCAGTGTTTTGTTTACATTATCAAGGCGGCATTGTTGATGTCATTCGAATTTTATTGTGACGTAGGGTCGGAATGACATCACATTAGTAATGAAGTCACAGCAGAAAACTGCTGATGTCAATCAACAATTATGGTTTTCAGTGCATTTTTCTAAAGGGGAGTTCAAAAGTATTAAGAAAAAATGGTTGATAATGAAATTATTACAATCGTTGTGTGTCATGCTGATTTTACGAAACTCAGGAAATACAAACACTCTTTGTCATCCTCAGTATGGCACACATGCTCATATAATCTCTATACATGTACATCATTGTGATACTAACATTCAATATACTAACAAAACTTACATATCAAATTATATCGCATCCGTTATTTCATTAATGAATGATTTGAAGATTAAAGTTTACCGACATTATATTAAATATCTCAATCATATGGTAACTGAAGCATTCATAAAATCTCTTCACAAGCCCATGTTCCATTGATTTCTGACATAGTTTGTCTGAATAGTAAGTTCAGCTATATCAATATGCCTCCATAGCTGTCTAGTGTCTCCTCTAGCATCCTAGAAATCTGTGAAAGTGTGAGACACAATTTCAGCAACAGGCAGGGAAATCTTACCATGTTAATAGTAAAGTTACACATCATATTTTATGTAATGTATGGAGATGATGGGGTAACTATTGTAATAGTATTTATGTGTTTTAAGCACTTAAGCATAGGAAGAATGCAGTGGTTACAAGTCTTTAAAAAGATTTCACCCACAGTAACAACCTACATCCACATGACCCAATTGTCAACCCTAGCAACAATCTACATCCACATGACCCAATTGTCATCCCTAGCAACAACCTACATCCACATGACCCAATTGTCATCCCTAGCAACAACCTACATCCACATGACCCAATTGTCATCCCTAGCAACAATCTACATCCACATGACCCAATTGTCATCCCTAGCAACAACCTACATCCACATGACCCAATTGTCATCCCTAGCAACAACCTACATCCACATGACCCAATTGTCATCCCTAGCAACAACCTACATCCACATGACCCAATTGTCATCCCTAGCAACAACCTACATCCACATGACCCAATTGTCATCCCTAGCAACAACCTACATCCACATGACCCAATTGTCACCCCTAGCAACAACCACATCAACATGACCCAATTGTCATCCCTAGTAACAACCTACATCAACATGACCCAATTGTTCATCCCTAGCAACAACCTACATCCACATGACCCAATTGTCATCCCTAGCAACAACCAACATCCACATGACCCAATTGTCAACAACTCACCTTCTTCCCGAGGTCCTCGTTCTCCGCAATCTCCTCCTGCAGTGACAGTTTCTCCTCCTTCAGCACCTTCAGCTTGGCGTACAACTTCTCCATCAGCTCCTCCTGGTGTCAGAAACAGGAATTACATATCTCTTGAAGTCAACATTACCCTAACTTGTGCATCTGCAAGTTCTGTTTGAGTGACACTGCTTCTTTCCTCCCCAAAACCATTTCAATAGGTCAATCAGCAACACATGATAACTATGCTCATACAGGATCGAACAAGTGAATCTTTGAAAATGCAATAAGTTCATTGTTTAACAGGACACCCCTTAGTGTACATTTTGAAAGAGTGATATTTTTAATAATATTTCAGCAACATAAAAAAAGCAAAACACATATACAAATAATGAGGAAATATACACAATTTTTAAGTCATCAGCATGACTAATAAAGGTTTTAACCATTCACCAAAATAACACATTCACAACATTGATGTTTCCAGCTGTCGTCTAAACAACATAATAATGTTACCATATATAAGTGTCAGTACTTGACGATGTCCAAAATTTGTCAGTGGTCCAAAGGACCGCCATATTGAAATATCTACAAGTCCTGTTGGGTCTCTACTAGACACGAAGGTGAGGACCAAAAAGGGTTTAAAATGGTATTACTTGATTCTAATTCTACGAGCTCAGTGTTTACCAAATTGCAGTAATAAAAGACAAGTTATGGCTGGTTAACGTCAGAGGTGTATTCGTTTGCAACAGGGCAACATTTCACCTTTTCCGAGATGCGTGTAACTAGTCATAAAAACAAGTGAGCATGCACAGTAAGCATGAGAAACCAGTGCAGAAGGGTACCACTGTTCCATGCAGGGTTGTTAAGGCAGCTGGTTTTGCTTAGAGATCTTAGCGCTAAGGTGATCGTAACTCCCATACCTTAACATAGACTTACGACAGTCGTGGCGCTAAGGTTGTTTGAACAATTGGTATACAGACAAATGTCAAACCTCATGCATATGTTTCCCTTCATCAAATCACAAAACAGTATCATTTCATAGGGTAAAACCTTAGCAGTCAAAGATATCCCTGGATTAAATCTCAGTATGACTATGCAGCCAAGTGGAGTTGTTACCTTCTGTTTCCTGAGGCTGTCGTTGTCCTGGAGGTCCTTGATGATGTCCTTGCTGACCTCCTCATTCTGTCGACGCAGTTCCATCTCCACCAACGCCTTGGATGACCCCTTGAAGTAGGACGCAGGTAGGGCACCCCTGGAGGAGGAGGATGTAAAGTTTTAGATCAGGGCAACCGTTGCTGCTACACAAGGCATGACCTCAATACAAAACCTGCACCTACACACAGTGTTACATCAGGGCAACCGTTGCCGCTACACAAGGCATGACCTCAATACAAAACCTGCACCTACACACAGTGTTAGATCAGGGCAACCGTTGCCGCTACACAAGGCATGACCTCAATACAAAACCTGCACCTACACACAGTGTTAGATCAGGGCAACCGTTGCCGCTACACAAGGCATGACCTCAATACAAAACCTGCACCTCGATACATATCTTTCTGGAAAACAAAACATAATAAATTTCAAAGTTCCTAGACACATAACCATCCTTGAGAAACACATCCAAGGAATCCTGTTTTGAGCACATCACAAAGCTCGAAAATACTATCTTAATGTCCACCAAAACACACGGGATACAAACTTGATGAAACCATCTTGGTCACCATTTTGACTCCTGTTAATACCCAGTACTCACTCCTTGCCTGCATCCATGTCGATGTATCCTTCAACTGTAGTCCCAGTATCCTACAACTGTAGTCCCAGTATCCTACAACTGTAGTCCCAGTATCCTACAACTGTAGTCCCAGTATCCTTCAACTGCAGTCCCAGTATCCTACAACTGTAGTCCCAGTATCCTACAACTGTAGTCCCAGTATCCTACAACTGTAGTCCCAGTATCCTTCAACTGTAGTCCCAGTATCCTACAACTGTAGTCCCAGTATCCTTCCACTGCAGTCCCAGTATCCTACAACTGTAGTCCCAGTATCCTACAACTGTAGTCCTAGTATCCTACAACTGTAGTCCTAGTATCCTACAACTGTAGTCCTAGTATCCTACAACTGTAGTCCCAGTATCCTACAACTGTAGTCCTAGTATCCTACAACTGTAGTCCCAGTATCCTACAACTGTACTCCCAGCATCCACAACACAGCACTACATCTCTACACAAACACAACTTACAAGCATGAATTAACCTCGCACATATTTGCCAAATATCTGCTAATAGCGGTCATGTGACCATGCAATTAGCTGGGAATGTCATTTATCAGCTAACTAGGTCAGTGGGGTTCAAACCCAGCCTATGAAGCACCTCTGCACTATCTGAGTGTGGATGTGACAAGCTCCACTGACTGGCCGTCTGGGAGCAGTCAAGAGATAGGGATAGTGGTTCTCACGTCAATGGTCCGGAAGATATTCCCAGGGTTAGTTTACTGATACTTAATAAACCTCTAATGAAACAGGATTCTGTCTTTATCAGTGATGCCAGAATATTAAAGTTATTTATAGCTTGGAGACTGATAACAAACTCCTATATCAATATGTTTTGGAATATTCTCGTGTGGATCAACCACGTTGACAGGTGCAGCTGTCTTGCAATGACAACATCATATATCATTTCATTCGGCATATCAAGTTTCCATCAAAAACAATCTTGAATCTTAAGATTTAATCCCGAACATGCAATATCTGAGAAATACTAATCCCCTTTCATTCGGATGCTATTTTTTGGGCAAGGTGGCAAGAATTTATTTCAATAAAATGACCACAACATAATTTCCCGGTTTACCAAAAACATGTTTTTCAAATTGTACACATGAGAAAAATCAAAATTAGTACTTTGTGAGTATGACCTTTAGTGAGTGAATTTAAGAATTTTATCCCATAAATAATAGTCTAGTCAACAGACTATGGTAAAGTCAAGATAACCCCATATGTACTTGACGATAGTCTCATTAAGCTTAACTATTATGATCTGACATGGGCTACATGAAAAACACATTGATAAAACTTGTATAACATATTGTGTTATATACACACGTTATATACTTTATTGGCAGATCAACAGGAATAACTGTCACAGCTGATCCTCTCGCACTTTCTTTGTTTCTTGTTTTGTTTGTTAGCTGTTTAATGTTGCACTCTGGAATATTCCTGCTATTTCACAGTGGCTTGTTAATCATTGAATCTGGGCCAGACAATCCAGTGAATGACATGAGTGAGTGAGTGAGTATGGTTTTACGCTGCTTTTAGCAATATTCCAGCAATATCACGGCAGGGGACACCAGACAAGGGCTTCACACATTGTACCGATGTCGGGAATCGAACCCGGGTCTTCGGCGTGACGAGCGAACGGTTTAACCACTAGGCTACCCGACCGCCCCGAATGACATTATGAGCAAGGATCCTTGCAATCAACCGAGTCTCAGTGCCTGACCATATTCCATATGGCCGCCTTTCATTACCAGAATAGATTGCTGGGAACCTGTGTTCTAATCCGGAACTGGCTCTTTTCAATTGATGAAATTATCATACAATCGAACAATGAGTCTGCCACTAACATTGCACCCTACTTGACCAACTAAACCCCAGCAGTACCCTAGGGGAGACAGATGTGTGTGTGTTCGCAAGGAACTACAGCAGCTGAATGAGTGAGTGATGTTTTACGCCACTTCCTGCAATATTCCAGCCCTATACAACAGGGGAATACAAGCAATGGGCGGCATGAAACCCATGTCTTTGTCTGGACAAAGCCAACACTCTACCCAACCAGCTGACTGTATAAATTATTTAATATTGATATGACAATTATATCCCTGTTGGAAGAAATACATAAAAAAGAATCCCTTTTTTTCCTCTCTAGATTCCAAACCATCCTGCCATCTACCCATCCCTAGGCATATATAGCGGGATAGTTATGGCTAAGCAGACATGAGGGCCTTTCAAGAAGCTGATTATGTCTACCCAGCTCCAGCTAGATTCCAAATGACCCTGCCATCTTCCCATCCCTAGGGCACACATAGTTGGATAGTTATGGCTAAGAAGACGTGTTGAGGGCCTTCCCAGAAGCTGATTATGTCTACCCAGCTCCAGCTAGATTCCAAATGATCCTGCCATCTTCCCATCCCTTGGGCACACATAGTGGGGTAGTTATGGCTACGAAGACATGTTGAGGGCCTTCCCAGAAGCTGATTATGTCTACCCAGCTCCAGCTAGATTCCAAATGACCTGGATCTAATCAATTCTGAACTCTCCTACTTAGGGTATGCATGTCTTACATCTCTGAAATTAACAGGACATATGTACCAGCAGGGGCTATATTTACACCCAATACATCATCAATCTGGCAGCCAATCCTTCACAAAAAGAATGCATAATTTAAGTGTTGCCATTTTCTGGCAGTAATGCATCATAAAGACACCCAACAATTACCTCACAGCTTTCCCAGAACAAGAACGTCCATGACAGGTGCACATCTTGCGTACATTCTCATGCTAAACAGTTACCTTGCGTGTGGCTTTGAAATAAGCTCATGCAGTTTTTAAATAAATGAAATATAGCTTGTCAATTTCTTTTTGCTTTCATCGGTTCCACCCCGCCCCCTTCTAAATATATATGTATGGGATATTCTACAAGTCAGTATGTCTTGGCGCCAGACTTTTACCTCATTGCTTCATGGGTCTGTTATATGTTCTGTTATGATGTGCCACCACTGGTATTTTCATTGTAAATGTTCCTGAAAATGTCAGCTCCAAGATGGGATAGAAGTGTGTTAACTTCATAGTGATGGTAATTTTATCTCGGCAAAAAGGTTCAGTAAATGAGTACTGGACTCATAACAGTTTTCAAGTCTTGCTTACTGCAACTATATAGCTGCACTGTAGCAGAACATGAGTCAAGGAACTGGAGCTTATAGCCCAGCTGGTGATAAGATCACACTCTTAATACAGAGACCATTGTTGTGACCCCCCATCCTACCACATCTCGGACCCTTCTTGTCAACCCCTCCCACATCTCAAACCCTTCTTGTCACCTCTTCCCACATCTCAAACCCTTCTTGTCACCTCTTCCCACATCTCAAACCCTTCTTGTCACCTCCTCCCACATCTCAAACCCTTCTTGTCACCCCCTCCCACATCTCAAACCCTTCTTGTCACCTCTTCCCACATCTCAAACCCTTCTTGTCACCCCCCCCCCCCCACCACCCCCCCCACATCTCGGACCCTCTACCACATCTTGTATGTTTATTTGGTATCTCTTTTGCTCTTTTCATGCAAATAATCCAAAGCTAACTGGCATCACTCCATACCAAATATGTTTAAATCCATGAATTTTAGTATTCAGGTTTGTGTAAACCAATGACGCATCATTTACTAGAAATACTTACAGAGCAACAATCTTACCTAACTACACTGTCGATACTCATGATCCAACACTAACAGCCTACATTCCTCTCTTCAGCACGATAATACTCAATCCTGATTAATGCAGTGAGGTACCAAGAGAGGAATGTAGTCTGTAGAGACTTGCATGAAAATGAAAATCAAGATCATACAGAATACCTTCATCTTTTCGGCACCACATTCATAATCATGACTGTATTAATGAGGATTTACATGGAATTTACTCCGCTCCCTCCTTTCCCTCCCTCCATCAGCCCCACACACATTAAACACAGCTCTCCACACCCCCTCAATCTACTGCCCTCCCTCCTTCCCCTCCATCTGCCCCGCAGTGACACATCAAACACAGCTCTCCTCACCCCTCCTTCAGCCCCCTGTGATGTATGTAAACACAGAGGCCCCGCTGCCCACCACCAGTCTGCCCCTACCCCCTAGCCCCCCACCACATGCCTGCCCCACCCCCTAGCCCCCACCACCTGCCTGCCCCACCCCCTAGCCCCCCCACCACATGCCTGCCCCACCACCTGCCTGGCCCACTCCCTAGCCCCCACCACCTGCCTGCCCCACCCCCTAGCCCCCTACCACATGCCTGCCCCACCCCCTAGCCCCCACCACCTGCCTGCCCCACCCCCTAGCCCCCCACCACATGCCTGCCCCACCCCCTAGCCCCCACCACCTGCCTGCCCCACCCCCTAGCCCCCCACCACATGCCTGCCCCACCCCTAGCCCCCCAACCACCTGCCTGCCCCTACCCCTAGCCTGTACTGGGGCATCTGCAGCCACTGCACACCATATCATAGCCTTGCTCCAAGGCTGTACTGAAATTAAGTCCATGGATGTGTAGTAATTCTATCATCCAAACAGGCAAGTCCAGATATCCAAGGACTCCAGTCTCTATTAGGGACAACTTGTTCTTATTGACTACATAATATAGAAATTATGATTTAAACTAATCATTATTGCCTTAGAGACTAGTGCAAGTCTAACCATATCATGGTATTCAAAGCTTTCATCCACACAGAATAACTACGGCAAACAGAGGGCAACATGTGTGACAAGCAAACGTTTTAACCACTAGGCTACCCTACCGCCCCTACTCGAAAAAGCTTACAACTACTAATAAGCTACTAGCATGTGAACAAGACAAGTGGGCAAGTCTGATTACTGAGCATCCAACATCATGGTATCTGCCTAAGTCAACTCCTGATGGCTTGATGCAAGGAAATTATAGGAAAACTAGTGCGCTGAGATACCATGCCGCAGTTTAACACGGATACCCTATTCAGACACAGTATACCGACACCAAGATGATCAGTCCTTGTTTCAACACCTCAATGCCAAGCGCCAGGCAGGGTAACAACAAGTATCATCTCTTAATGTTTTTTGGTGTGACGCGGCCAGGTAATGAACCCCTGACCTTCAACTCTCTCGGCAGATGCTCGGCCTGTCTGTAAAGCGACATACTAACCAACACAATATCTGTCTACATCCTGCTAATGACTTTTAACACCATATCTTCCTTTGAAATTTCTCTTTAAATTATTTTATGATAATTTGCAGATTGTAAAAACCATAAAATTCAAAAATACCAAAGGCATCCGAATGATAGAGAATCTTTGTACTTGCATACACACATGTATCCCAATCAATCTGGCAATCTTGCAAGGTTTATACAGCATCACTTTAATAGCATATGTAATAGCATTAATTATTCCGCACACAAACAGGCTTTCATTCAAACTTTCATCTTTAAAGTCTGGGAATTATAACTATTCCGGATCATTTATCGTTAAATTTTCTTATCTCCACAATTTCCCCCTGATAGTTACCATGAACACTTCCTATGATCTTGTAAGATCACATGGCTTTCTTCACTGAGTTATGTCTCTTAGATACATGAAATGTAAATACACGTACGGAAATCGCAGAAAGTATGTGAAAATCAAGTAGTCTAATACCCCCACCTTAGCTTGTCCTCTATATAGCTGTGTCCTGTTTACAGCCCGTGTCCTCACAGTCCATGAGACAGCAGGCCAACTTTGACTTATTCAAACAGTTTATACTAATATAGTATCAATTTTGTAATTTCATCTTCTCACCATGATTAACCTCCAGACCCAGCTGTAAGTAACTTTAAGAAGCGCCCACTACCAAGACCGAAATTTTACATGACAATCCATATTTTCCTGTGCATATTGCAGACTTGCTTACAGAAAACATCAGCTTCTGGGTATATTATTAACCTGTATCTATTATCTACATTTTTCAGTTTCATCACCATTTGTACAAAGTTGATGCACATAAAACTGAAAGCTAAAACTAGTGTAAAGCTACATCACAGAGTGAGTGAGTGTGTCTAACACAGAACAGAACAATTTCATAGTTATATCCTGGCATGTTGGCTTAAGGTTGGAGGACAGGTCAATGCAATACAGGTCAATGCAATACAGGTCGATGCAATACAGGTCATGCATGTTTACCTCTGTGGTTAAACTTATGAGGAAAGGTCTGATGCAGACACACAAAGGATCTCAGATGGGATGAATCTGGGATTCAAACCCAGCACCTAGTTCATGCCTTAGCCCACTCGGCTACCATACCAATCATGCTACAACAGTGAGTCTTCCGAAGATGTTAACCACGACCTTCAACCATAAGTACTCTTCATCGTGGCCACAGGTTCTTCAGTTCTGAGATTCGTCTGCCCCATAATTATCATAGTTAGGCAGAATTATGCAATCCAGATGTAGAAATTCCTTGTTTGGATAACCGCAGTCTACAGTTGAGCTCAAGGGTGCACACCTAGTTCACACTGTACGCTGCATTCATTACTCGGTCACCTTACAGCTCATCCCAACATGGGCCATGACTAAAACTCTTATCAGATCATTACACAGTCCAGACTTCATTACACTACTGATACTGACGTTGTGTCATTAAAGTCATCCAGTAACACTTATACTTGAAGTTCCTTACAAGAAGGGAAGAGAAAAGATCATGTACCTACCTAAAACTGCAGCTTCTCTTAGTCTGAGTTAATATCCACTACGTAATGACGTCACGCTTACTACATCAAACCTAAGGAGATCTACAGGCTGTAGCCAAACAAATTTTATTGCATTGCCAGGGAGGGAAGTTTATCAAGCAGGATATAGCTAACTTGGAGTAATTATCCACAAATATGTACGCTCCTTCTAGATAAACATCACAAAGTCATAACATCAGTGAGTAGGTGCAGCCATACTATTTTCACATTTCACCTCAGCAATAATTACACAAATATACATAAATACTTACTTTTTATCAGCATCTACAGGTTCACTTGTGTCTTCAGATAAGTTGCCTCCCTTGAGCTGAGCTTTGCCACAAGAGGGCCTCCTGTTGACATCAACAGGGTCTGTAAACATGCCATCCATGTATTTCATCCTCTTATGATCCTGAGTAAGAACCTCTGATAATTTCTTTTCTGAGCCTTCCAATTCCATTGCTAATTGTTTGGCCTGCTCATCACACTCAATCTCCTCTTGTGAACGTTGACGACCATGATGAATTGGAACCACCATAGACTCAGTCTCAGCAGGTTTTGGACTTTCCTTCTCCACCTGAGCATTGGGCACTGAATTCTTATTATCCTGAGTCCGAGGAGAGTCTGACCTGTCAGTGTTCCTCCTCATGTTATTCACACCACTAGAAGCACCTTGTCCTCGCGGAGATTCACTAACAACTTTATGCATATCTGGATGTGGCTGATGATACGTTCTGGGACTATACATTTCACCATCCCGATGCACACCATTTGAGTCTTGGTCACGTGTGTGGCAGTCTCTCGGTCGTTTCTCCCGATATCTGGGTGACAAGGCCTGAGATTCAGCTGACGAAATTCTGGATTGGTCCTGTCCTTGAGGAGCACCATCAGGAGTTCTCTGAGCACTACTCTGGAAATGTCTTGGTTCTCTTTGGTTATATGCACTCTGATTCACCTGACCAGGAGTGTGAGGACTCCGCTTATCTACAGCACTTTGTTCTGCTGGGGACACATGTCTGAATCTGGGATGGACTGGGGAGGTAGCACTGTTAGCAGGATTGTCCTGAATGTTGGGTCTCCTGTCTGACACATTGGGAGGAGGAGGATTGTCATGAACATTGGATCTCCTTTCGGAGCTAGAGACAGTTGAGTTGGATGAAGAGGAACTGAAAGACTCGTGTCGTGGGTAGCGAGTGCGGGGGTCATCCCGCCATGATTCAAGAATACGCTGAGATTTTTGTGTGTTGTTTTGACTGTTTTGACTGTGAGCAGCTTTCTGAGCAGAGCTTTGACTGAGGTTCTCAATGGTCTCCCAGGAGCTCTCAGCTTTTAAGTGACCACTGATAGTTTTGGGTGATGATGTCCGGATCGGATCAGGGTTAGTTTTCCATGAACTGTCTGCAGGTTTAGGTGATGCTGTGTGTTTTGGAGACCCCACTCTACCTTGTTCTAATCTGGGTGACCCCACATTCTTACTGCCTCCATGTTCTATTTTAGAGATTCTATCTCTCACTGAATTGGGTGTACCAAACTTTTTGCCTTCCCCACCTTCTCCCTCTCGGGAATGATGCGAAACGAAAGGACGGGGAGAAAATAAACTAGTCTTGGACATACCCGAAGGTGACTGTACAGAACCTTGGGGTCGACTCGGCCCTGAAGAAGGTGATTGCACAGGTTTAACCACAGGTGTGATGAAAGTCCCTCCAACAGGACCACTGGGTGCAGGATGCAGCGCATGTCTTGCACTTCCACCCGATGTCTGTGGTTGGGCCAGGGGCTTCACTGAAGCTGATGAAGGTGAGTTGAGTTGGGCAGACCGAGAACTGGAGGAGCTCATGGGCAGAGTCTGTTGACTTGGACCTGATGATGGCGAGTTGAGTTGGACAGACCGAGAACTGGAGGAAGAGCTCATTGAGAGTGCTTGTTGAGGTGGACCTGATGGTGAATGGAGTTGGGTAGATCTAGAACTTACGGAAGAAGAGGAGCTCATTGAGAGAGTCTGTTGTGGTGGACCTGATGGAGAGTGGAGTTGGGCTGGGCGGGAACTGGAAGAGGAGGAGGTCATGGACAGAGTCTGGGGAGGTCGGGCAGCTGGCTTGGGTGCATTTGTTGTGGGGGATACATAGAACAAGGGGGCAGTTTCCGTGGAGGGAGAATGAAGGGGTTTGCTTTGTAGGGGTTGCACTGTTCCCATAGACACATTTTTCACATGTTCCACATCAGCTTGGAATGCTGGGATATTTCCAGGAAGATTAGGCATGTCATTGTGTCCGATTGAAGCACCAATGGAATGCCTTGATAAAGCAGACTCACTGTTCCATGGCTGATGTCCAAGCTTCTTGTCACTGAACACGCTGTTGGCGTCATTGTCATTATTGGTGTCATCTTCCCCTGGACGCAGCGCTGCTGCAGAAGCTGATCTCTTGTAGTTCCCGCTTCCAGAGTTGCGCCGTGAGCGCCTGACGGCAGCCGACATATAGGAGTCGTCTGCATATCTGAAACCAAGAGGACACATATGAATATTACATGTCGGCTCCTTGCCATAATGATTGAAAATCGATGATACTCATGACAGACAACAACAATGTCATGAAAGACATGAACACCAACCTATTTTTCTTACAGCGTCACAGGACAGATTCTGGGATATCATGAACAATGAATGACAACCTAAATAATGCAATGCCCTTATGTGACATCTCACAGACTGAGAAACAGTCAAATCAATTCAACAGTTTGAAAGTGCCTATCACGTAATGTGAAAAGTGTACTTCTCAAACCAACCATAATTTCAAGAGAGTTGCTTGTGTTTATACACAGTTTGTTACCTCTATTTCAATTTGTTTATACACTTCACATACAATGTTCTGACATGTGACAGGAAAATATTTTAGTGTTATAGGCCATCAGGCTGGATGTTGTATATTTCTGACTTTTATGTTTATTTTTTGTCTATCATGCAATTTCATTTCACTGGTAAAGAAAAGTTTGTTTGTTTGTTTGTTGTTTAACGCCGCACTCGGCAATATTCCTGCTATATGACGGCGGTCTGGATCTGACAATCCAGTGATTGACACCATGAGCATCGATCTACGCAATTGGGATACGATGACATGCATCAACCAAGTCAGAGATCCTAACCACCCGATCCCGTTAGTCGTCTCTTACAACAAGCATAGTCGCCTTTTACGGCAAGCATGGGTTGCTGAAGATCTATTCTACCCAAGATCTTCACGGGTCTACAGGAAAGTGATGCATATGTGTGTGGCTGCTTGTACTAGTCTGGACTAATGCCGGATTTCTAGTGCAAGCCCACTGAGATGCCATGCCACAGTTTAACTAAAACACATTGTACTGACACTCAAGTCTTTATTTTGCCCCCATAGAGCTGAGCACAAGGCAAGGAGACAAGTACCAATATATTTTGGTACTACGTGGCCAGCAGATCAAACCACTAAACCTCTGTTCTCCAGACGCTCTATCCACGACACCACGGAGGCAGTGTATGATCAAAAGCGTAGTCTACACATGTAGCAGTATATAGAACATACAAGCTGAAGCCAACTAATGCTTTATATAGATCAGAGTATATTCCACTTGAAGGCTACATCCAGTGGTGACTATAAAAAGCCCAATTTGACAGGAACAGGATCTGTAGCTGATAAGCAGACATTGACTAGCATCAAAAGAAACAGGTGTTTCCCTTGGCTAGTTACCTCGATCCTCCACCATGGTGGTCTGTGTCAACCAATCACAGATAAATATCACATCTGTATCCACCAATCAGACCTACATACCTCTCCTTTATCAACCAATCACAGATACATATCACATACACCAGCCTATAACAGATACATATCTAACCTATCTGACACTGAACACTTGAGTGAGACAGGAGATGTACCACATTGAGGAATGAAGAGGAAAGCTTGATCATCACCAGCCTTTCACTAGTACAAACAACCACAAATCTTAGGACAAGATAAAGGGGGAAAATATCATGAGAAGTGATTCAAAATGACCAGGTAACACAGCCTTCTCAGGAGGAAGAAAACAAAAACCTGTTAAGAAACAATGGCATAGTATTGTACAGATTGTTGCTCTTATGAGTGAGTGTGGGGAAGTGAGTTGGATTTAACACCGCTTTTAACATTATTTCAGTTAAATCACGGCGTGTCTGCTTAATGTGGAAGGAAAGCCCAAAGTGATGCAGGTCTCAGATGTTTACCACTTCGGTGAAACCCACGAGCACCGTCATGGTGCTGACAAACCTAGAAACATAATCTTGACGGACCGGGATTCGAACCCACAATCATAGGTTTCTGGCATGACTACCACCTGTGCCCCTGTTGCTCTCATAAAAATATCTGGAAATCTTGACATAGATTTAACATATATATCAAAATTCATTTTTCTCCAGACAAAACAAACAGTTAATAATCACCAGGATTTGTCTCAATGAACCACACAGTGATGAAAAGTAAATTTGAAACTGTTCTTTGCATATTGGTACTTTTCAAAGCCAAGTCAGCACACCAAGTACGATTCCTGCTAATAATAGTTCCCGAGGAAATGTTCACATTATAGTTGATGTCTTCTTTCAGTAAACAACTGTCTAGGTTATCTCTTCCCATCACATAAACACCCACTGAGAGACTGTAAGAAATTTCTAATCACAAGCAGGGTAATTATGATCCTGTGACTCCTTAATCCTTAAAACATAAATGTTAAAAATACCATAAACCTTATGTTTGTGAAACAAAAGACTATCTTTCCTCTGGACATATGGGATTGAGATCTGCTGCAGTATTCTTCAGCAACCAAAGGTCATGTCAAAAATAGGAATGCCTCCAAAAATGTACCACTTGGCATTCACACCTGACAATAAGAAATAGCTACGTACATTACACTCTTCACCATACATCACCTCATGACAAAGGCGTAAAACAAGCGGTGAATTCACCAACAGATATCAATGTACATAAGTCTTCCTATGAGACAATAGACAGCCCATACAGCTGATAAATCAAGACCTGTTGTGGAAGGAAGATTCCTATCTCGGCAAGTGGCTTTAATTGAATGTAAAATCTCAACTTGAGATACCCCCATGCCATAATGGCTGACAGGGCACTGATCTACACCACATCCCAGACTTCCCTCAAAACCTATACTTCCTGTCTTGAATTGATGCAAAGCAATAATTATCAAATATTTGTGAAACACTACACGGAAGGTATTTCCTCATAAACTGTTTTCCTGGGCCAAAATACCTGGCAGACTCTGCAGTTTCTTCACAAAGTCTGCTTTGTGTAAATACAAGATTATGATACACATGGGTTTTATACTACTTGGGTTACCACCACTTCCAGCATAAGGCACATGTGTTTTATACTACTTGGGTTACCACCACTTCCAGCATAAGTCACCAGGGTTTTATACTACTTGGGTTACCACTACTTACAGCATAAGGCACATGTGTTTTATACTACTTGGGTTACCACCAGTTCCAGCATCAGGCACAGGTGTGTTACACTACTTGGAGTACCACTACTCCCAACAGCAGATGGCAGATACTTGTTTGAAGACATGTGATGTTCAAGATACACAATCTGGTGGAAGAAGTGTTTTTCAACAGAGCAGATATCTGGGGCAAGGGATTTGATATGCTCCTGTTGCCATTTATATAAACCAAAATAAACACATTTATTTCCTCACATCAACAAGTCATAGATTCACTACTTTTTACTTACATGACATTTCACAGGTTTCCCTCATAATTTATTCGCAACCCATAAACCCAGCTTATAGTTTGTAGTTTGTGTTTTCATGAAAATATCAGATTTTTAAAACAAAATGTCCACTTTGATTTACCATAAAAAGCAAAAATATCTCTAACAATGTAGCAGTGAGACATGGATAGCAAATATACCACTCAACCATTGCTAGGGATACTAAGAGAGTCCAGGTGAGGATTGTCCTGCTGCAGATCAAATGTGACAGTTGTTACTCAAGTAGTATTTAATAATGGGACTGATCAAGTTTCAGATTCAATATAAAAATAGTTAAAATAATCACAAGTACTCATTTTCATGAGTTGTATTCCAAATTCCATCACAGTGTTAAATATCTATGTATCCCTATTTAACATTGAGTAGCATATAAATGTATTTCCCCTGCCACAAGTTAACGGTGCTGTCTTGATAACAGAGCAGTAATTGCCACATTTTATCAGCTTGTGCGACATTAACTACAGGCATGACCAACTGAATCCATTATCTGATCTGTTTGGACAAACACCTGGGAGCCCTGGTCAACAGGTCAAAGGTCGCAGGCCACTTCTCATTCCATAGACCCACATCAAACAAGGGGCTCCATGAAAGAGGACATAGTTGACCAACACATACATGCCAACGGTCCCCTCAATGACATATAGATTGGGAGGGTGCTCAATTGGTCACACAAGAATGAAGGCGGACAGGCTGACCTATTTCAAAACCATTCAAGAACACCTGTCAGTCTGTACAAAATAAATGCAGAAAAAAGAAACACTTCTAAAAACATAAATGTGAAAGAAAAAACGTGAAAATGTTAAATGAATTTTTCATTTTTCAAATCTTTTTTGAAATTTTTAAGGTACACTATTAAAAATAAAACATCAATATTGATAACCAATCGGATTCATTGTTTTAATGATGACAAGGATTTAAATTTATTCTTTCAACATATCGGTGTACATGCTTGTACGTTTATCAAGCATGTGAGAACCCTGTCTTCATTTTACTACAGCTTATAAAAAAGCACTTTTAGATATTCACTGGTTTAATTAAACCATCTTCATGATCTAAAATACTTTAATAAAGGGTGACAATTTCTTTCCAATAAAACCAAAGTGTCATGTTCTGCAGTGTTTGTGTTTAAAATTAGTTAAGTGTTCACATGTTTGCCCAGAATGTTTTTACTACAAGCAATAAACTGGTTAATTTACTCCGAATCTCCCAAAGCGTGTAGGGCGTCTTGTGCCTTCATGAAACCCAGCTGAGGCATGTTGCACACTGGTGAACCCAACTTCCAGGTCAGATCACAAGCCACATGATGCTGGAAGGGAGATAATCAGGGCTAGATTGTACACCAATGGCAGTAGAGTAGCCTAGTGGTTAAGCGTTGCTTCATCATGCCAAACACCCAGGTTGGATCCCTCACAAGGGTCCAATGTGTGATGCCAATTTCTGGTGTCGTCCTGCCGTGGCGTTGCAACCTACTGATTCCAATAACACCACTTTGGATTCCTTGTTTAAGATTGCACAATGGTTTATAAGAGATATGAATGAGTGTGTGAATAGAGATTTATGCAACAATTATCAATGAACAGTTATGTCCAGACTCCTTGATCTTGCAAGAACACCAGTGGTTATAAGCGGAAACTAATCTCAACAGTTGGTATGATAGCATCCAATTGTTAGCAGGGATGACAGTATATTTGCACTGTTATATCTTG